ATATCTTATAAAATGGGTCAAAATCATGTATAGTAACCCTAGGTGTAAAATAGTAAATTATGGCTATTTCTCAGAAAGTACATATCCCAAAGGAAATAAATGATCTCACTTCAATAAACTTTAATAGAAAGTTAGCAAAAATAGAATAGAAAGTTACCAGGGAAAGGTAAATATCTGTCAATTTGTGGAAAAATCACCCTGATTAACTCTTTAGTATTATCCCAGTTGACCTATTTGCTTATGGTCTTGCCTACGCCTAGCGAACAGTTTTTTAAATTATATGAGAAAAAAATATTCCTTCTTATTTTGAACGGCAAGCCAGACAAAATTAAACGGGCCTATTTATATAATGAATATGAATTCGGAGGACAGAAATTATTAAATATTAAAGCATTAAACTTATCACTAAAAGCTTCAGTCATACAAAAGTTATACTTAAATCCGAACTGGTTCTCTAGCAAATTAGTAAGATTGTCTCACCCAATGTTCAAGAATGGCCTTTTTCCTTTTATTCAGATTACAACCACTCACTTTCAGTTATTTGAAAAGGAAATCATCTCCCAAATATCACTATTTCTAAAACAAGCCATAGAAAGTTGGTTGCAATTTCAATTTAATCCTCCAGAAACGACAGAACAAATAATGCAACAAATATTGTGGTTAAACTCAAATATACTAATTGACAAAAAAACTATCTTTTTGACAAAATGTTTTTAAAAAGTATAATCTTCGTAAATGATATCATCGGTGGGACTGGTGGAGTTATGTCGCACATGCAGCTAACAAAAACATATGGAAATGTCTGCTCTACCTGAAATTACAACCAAATAATTGCAGCCTTACCACAAACATGGAAGAGGAAAGTGGAAGGGGGAGAAAGTAAGGAACTTGTCTGTCGGCCTTGCATTACAGAACATAATTGGTTAAGGAAAACTGTGATAAATAAAAAAGTATATCAGTTTTATTTAAGGACCAAAGGATTGACAGCCATCCCATATAGATTGCAAAATAGTTGGGAAGAGATTTTTGACGTACCGATCCCATGGCATAGTGTTTATGAACTTATACGCAAAACGACACCGGATTCAAAACTTAGAATCTTTACATTTAAATTATTATATAAAATTCTTGCTACCAATAGAATGTTATTTATATGGGGGATACAACCTTCCCAGCTCTGCAGATTTAGCTGCGAAGAGACAGAATCATTAGATCATTTGTTTTGGTACTGTCCATTTGTAGCTTGTTTTTGGATACAGGTCCAGGAATGGATAAAGGATTGCAATATTTACCTGGAGCTAACCTTGCAGATAGCATTACTGTGTGATCTGAAAAGTCATAGTCAATCGATCAATAACATAATAATACTTTTAGCAAAAATGTTTATTTTCAATTCACAATCTGTAGAAACAATGAGAATAGAAAGGTTCAGAACTTTTGTAAGACATCACAGTACAGTTAGAAATCCTATATGGATGGTGTTAAAAGATAGATGGGAGGTGTTGAATGGAATTGAAGGATGGGACTAATAACAACTAACAACAAATAATAACAAGATAACTAATAATGTAAGCATACTGTGTCCATAATAAGTATATAGGTTGTAGGTTGGGAGCTTTTGTGAAAGAGCACAGTTAGAAAGATATGGCATATAGAAGCAAACCGGATGGACATCATGAAAATGATCGGAGAGGTTGAGAGTAGAGGAAGTTCAGGAGAAAAAACAAACAACATTTAATTGTTGTAAGATTGACTGTGTCCATAAAAATGTTGGGTAGTGGGTATTGGGCTGAAGTGGAGGCATAAGCTTTGGTTTGGTTCACTAGTTTACCTCTCCAATTAGGTAAAGGGTGGTGGGGTTTGGAATAATAAAGGGGAATTATATATATTATATATATATAATTTTTTTTTAAGATATGTTTGTGTATGTATGTGTATGTATGTGTGTATATGTATGTTTAAAATATATATGTATGTGTATTTTATAATATAGTCTGTGTAGATATATCTGTTATGTATTGATGTATGTATTTATGTATATGTATGTATGATGTATGTTGTATGTATGTTATGTATATCTTAATATTGTATATATATTATATATATATATATATATATACACACACACACACACACGGGGGAGAACAGAAAGTTTTTTTGATAGACTGCCCTATTTTGAGGTTTTCCTAACTTACAAAGCATGTAGAGGTCTGTAATTTTTATCATAGGTACACTTCAACTGTGAGGGACGGAATCTAAACACAAAAATCCAGAAAATCTCACATTTGTATGATTTTTAAGTAATTAATTTGCATTTTATTGCATGACATAAGTATTTGATCACCTACCAACCAGTAAGAATTCCGACTCTCACAGACCTGTTAGTTTTTCTTAAGAAGCCCTCCTGTTCTCCACTCATTACCTGTATTAACTGCACCTGTTTGAACTCGTTACCTGTATAAAAGACACCTGTCCACACACTCAATCAAACAGACTCCAACCTCTCCACATTGGCCAAGACCAGAGAGCTGTGTAAGGACATCAGGGATAAAATTGTAGACCTGCACAAGGCTGGGATGGGCTACAGGACAATAGGCAAGCAGCTTGGTGAGAAGGCAACAACTGTTGGCGCAATTATTAGAAAATGGAAGACGTTCAAGATGACGGTCAATCACCCTCGGTCTGGGGCTCCATGCAAGATCTCACCTCGTGGGGCATTAATGATCATGAGGAAGATGAGGGATCAGCCCAGAACTACACGGCAGGACCTGGTCAATGACCTGAGCTGGGACCACAGTCTCAAAGAAAACCATTAGTAACACACTACGCCGTCATGGATTAAAATCCTGCAGCACACGCAAGGTCCCCCTGCTCAAGCCAGCGCATGTCCAGGCCCGTCTGAAGTTTGCCAATGACCATCTGGATGATCCAGAGGAGGAATGGGAGAAGGTTATGGTCTGATGAGACAAAAATATAGCTTTTTGGTCTAAACTCCACTCGCCGTGTTTGGAGGAAGAAGAAGGATGAGTACAACCCCAAGAACACCATCCCAACCGTGAAGCATGGAGGTGGAAACATCATTCTTTGGGGATGCTTTTCTGCAAAGGGGACAGGACGACTGCACCGTATTGAGTGGAGGATGGATGGGGCCATGTATCGCAAGATCTTGGCCAACAACCTCCTTCCCTCAGTAAGAGCATTGAAGATGGGTCGTGGCTGGGTCTTCCAGCATGACAACGACCCGAAACACACAGCCAGGGCAACTAAGGAGTGGCTCCGTAAGAAGCATCTCAAGGTCCTGGAGTGGCCTAGCCAGTCTCCAGACCTGAACCCAATAGAACATATTTGGAGGGAGCTGAAAGTCCGTATTGCCCAGCGACAGCCCCGAAACCTGAAGGATCTGGAGAAGATCTGTATGGAGGAGTAGGCCAAAATCCCTGCTGCAGTGTGTGCAAACCTGGTCAAGACCTACAGGAAACGTATGATCTCTGTAATTGCAAACAAAGGTTTCTGTACCAAATATTAAGTTCTGCTTTTCTGATGTATCAAATACTTATGTCATGCAATAAAATGCAAATGAATTACTTAAAAATCATACAATGTGATTTTCTGGATTTGTGTTTCGATTCTGTCTCTCACAGTTGAAGTGTACTTATGATAAAAATTACAGACCTCTACATGCTTTATAAATAGGAAAACCTGCAAAATCAGCAGTGTATCAAATACTTGTTCTCCCCACTGTATATATAAAACATGGGGGATTGGAAGTGATGCAGACAATTACATTGATGGAAGTTACAATCTATCTGCAATATTAAGCTGATCTACCCCCCCCCTCCAAAAAAAAAAAAGATTAGCCAGAAAACACAAGAGGACCAGGGCTGGGGATACTGTAGGGAGGGAGGGAGCCATGGGACGATTTAATCTCTTCAATTACAATAACTGGCAGCTGCCCTCTATCAGCAAGTTAGGAGCCTAATCTCTTCATCTCCCTCTCTCCCTGCCCTCCTCCCCATCTCACTCTCTCCCTCCCTCCCTCCCTCCTCCACTACTCTCTCCCTCCCTCACTCTCTCCCTTCCCTCCTCTCCCTTCCCTTCTCACTCTTTCCCCTCCCTCTCTCTGTCCTCTCCCTCTCTCCTCTCCCTTCCCTCCCTCCTCTCCCTCCCTTCCCTCTCCCCCTCCGCCTCTCCTCCCCCCTTCCCTTCTCTCCCCCTCCTCTGCCCCCCCCTTCCTTGTCCCCCTCCTCCCTCTCTCTTCCTCCTCCCCTCTCCCTCCCCCCCCCTCTCCTTTCCCTCCCTCCTCCCTCCCTTTCCCCCCTCACCCCCTCTCTTCTCCCCCTCTCCCCTTCCCTCCATCTCTCCCTTCCCCCCCCCTCTCTCCTCCCCGCTCCCTCCTCCTTTACTCCCCCCCTCTCCCTTCCCTCCCCCCTCTCTCCCTCCCTCCCACTCTTCCCTTCCCCCCCCCTTTCCTCCCCCTCTATCCTCCTCCCCCCCCTTCCCTCCCCCTCTCCCTTTCCCCCCCCTCTTTCCCCCCCCCCCTCCCCCCTCTCTCCTCCCCCTCCCCTCCCCCGTCTTCCCTTCCCTGTCCCCCCCTCACCCCCTTCCCCCCCCCTTTCCCTCCCCCTCCCTCTCCCCTTCCCTCATCTCTCCCTCCTCCCCCTCTCCCTCCCCCTCTTTCTCCTTCCCTCCCCCCTCTCCCCTGGCCTCCCTTCTCCTCCCATCCTCCTTCCCTCCCCCCTCTCTCCTTCCCTCCCCTACTCTCTCCTCTCTCATCCCCTCCCCATTTTACATCTAGCAGAAGTTCTTATCCAGAATGACTTAGTCAGTGTGTTCAACGAAGCTAGGTAAAAACAACCACATATCGTTTCTCTCCCTCTTTACTGCCCTTCCCACTATCTTGCAGAGAACAGAAATGTGTATTTTCACTTACAACCCAACCCAACCCCCTGAGACCCACTCTCTCCCCACTATCTCTCTGTCCGGCCTCTACCTCTTCTCTCTCACCCTTCTCTTCTCCGTGGCACAGTCATTCCTACCAGTCTCTCCTCTCCCTCTAGGCCCTCGGTCTGTCTAGACAGAGTACTGCTCATCAACACAACAGGCTGGGATTGTCCCAGCTGACGCGGTTCAGGGATAGAAGAGCTCCCTCTGGTACAGCTCAGAGGAACTGCACTCACTCAATCCCCATAACAACAACACAGGGCTGGGATTATAGGTGCTGTTCAATTTGGGACAAACATATAGAATGTATTGCGGTCATTATAGCAAGACTCATTGAAAATCCAACCGCTGTCATATACAACCATGGTATATGATTCGGAAGAGGTTGAATAATAGAATAACTAACAGTAATAATCCCCAGCAGATGTGAAGGGCTCACACAAGCAGTACCCGGACGCTATCAAACAGGCCTACAGTAATCTCCATTGATTCTCCCTGGTGAGTTTCCCGACACTAAACAGCAAGGCCATCCAAGTTTGAGAGCCAATGATTTATAGATACAGAACCATTACTTCATGGTTGTTTGAGAGGCTGGAAAAATCATATCATGTTGTTGTGTATTCATACACTATGTATTATATCCTAATTAACATTTTCATTAAGTATTTCATTCTATTCCCTGTACACAAACCCATATGAATGTGTGTTAATCTTGGTACGGGACTGTGGAAAGTCTGTGGAACTGGAGCAAAAGCAATCCTACTGTAGCAATAGGTCAGGTCCAAGCTGTGGATAACTTAGAATGGTGGGTGAGAGGGAGAAAGAGAGGATGGGGTGGAGTGGGGTGCTGCTGGGACCAGCGACCAGCTCTGCTGTCCATAGACGTCCAGCTCACTCCCAGTCCCGATTCAGCATCCCGGAGAGGCAGGGCACTGATACACACTAGACAGAGCTCGGCTTACCCAAGGCCACAGTCTACTTTGCCTTGATTAGACAAACACACACAGCTTTTGTCAGTGCAGGGATCCCTTGCTCCTAATCCAAGACGCGTTTTTCTGAAGGGGAGCTATCCCTGATTCCTCTTACAGCCACCTGCATAAGACTATCATACACCATGTGTGTATGTGTGTGGAATGAAGCCCCCTTTGTCAGGATTAAGTCTCTAGGTTAGAGACTTCCAAGTCCCGCCACAGAGAGAGAGTCAAGACACAGAAAACAACCCAATCATTGTAATCATGACAACTTTTACACAGAGATACTCACAATGCCTCACTCTTAACCAGAGTGGGGGTGCTGCTGCGAGTGCGAGTCACTCCAATCTGTTTCCAAGCTGCAGTAGATTAATCCCCATCTCTCTCTCTCTCTCTCTCTCACACACACACACACACACACACACACACACATAATAAATAAAGCAGAACAATCCATCCTCTACAGAGGGTTTTAAGTTGGTGTGAAACAAAGGCATTAGGACTTTGAACCCAGATAAACCCTTGGTAGTGACGTAACGTCTCGGTAGTAGTGAGAATAGGAGTGCTGATAAAGGATCAGGTCCCCTGTCTCTATACATCTATTTTTCATTATGATCTAAAACGCAAAACTGATCTGAGCTCAGCACTCCTCCTCTGAGACTTGGGATTATCCATAAACATGGACCTAAGGTGAGAGGTCTGTCATTATGGACCTGTATGGTTCTCACCTCCATGTGTTCCACTTATACAGTGCTCCCTAAATACAGGAGAAATCTGCATTGGAACATTCATAGCTATGACAAAGCATCAAGATGGACGCTGCAGATAACAGCGAGCCAAACTAACAAAGCATGGAAAATGAGTAGTCCAAAGGGGCTTATCAATAACAAGTCTCTTATGTGCCAACAGGGGAGACCTGGTGAAAAGTGAGACAGAGGCATGACGCAAATGAAGGAGCCAAGAGAGCAAGAGAGAAAGCCAGTGGACCACGGAGGGATACACACTCTCCCTCTCTTCTGTCTGACCCCATGGGTAATTTATGGCCCGTGTTTGGCCACTCAGGAGGGTTGGAATTCAGGGGTCGGGGTTCTTGGAACCTCAATTGCCGGCCGTTCCTGCGTTTGTCGGTTCGGACATCTTTGGGCGTTGTAATGATTTAATAGTGGGGTCGGAGGAGTGGAGGAGAGGGGCTGTGGTAGGCTTCACACGGCTGGGGTTCCAGGGGACTGAGCTGACCCCTCCAGACCCCCAGCTCCAGACACCTTGCCTCCGAGCTCCAGCCAGCCCGTCTGTCACCCCTCATTCCAGGCAGAGCTCACAGTAAAGCAGGGCATACGGCGAGGAGCAGCAGGGTGAAGTTCACAGGGGGGGGAGGGGGTAGTCACTGATGTCTCTATCCACATGAACTGAACTTAATGTGTCTGAGTTGAGTTCCCCCTACTGCTTATTCACAAAAACATACTAGTCTGACCACCACCACTAAACTCTGACTGAACCTGTCATAGACGTGCTGTTATGCTCCCCTGGATGCTGATGTGCTGAACTGGCACTTCCCCTTCTCAGAGGGGCTGTCAGTGGATGATAACTCACCGGATTGGACCATGGCGGGGGGTCAGAGGGTGGGCAACTGGTACACTGCTTCCTGACAGCCCTGCCTAACTCTCTCTCACACACACCTCACTCTAGCCTGGCCGCTCTGACCTGACCTCTGACCTAGGGAAGCTAGCAGAGAGGAAGGGATGGTATTATGCTGGGCCTCATACAGCTAGGACTGGTTGTGTGGATGTGTGTGTCTCCTGGTGAAGGACTGGGATGGAATACTTACGTAGGACGTGACCCTCAATCAGCCATAACAAAGAGATGGTACATACAGACCTTTTAACAACCCCAGAGCATTCTACAACCCACAGAATGTTTATGAAGCCAGAGGACACCCCAAAAAAACCTGAATTGCAATAAACTCCACTGGTGCCTGGTGGCAGAGAGAAGCACAAGAGGTCATGGACAAAACAAAATGGCCGAAAGAAGACGTGTGTTTTTCCAGTAAAAAAACGAACTTTTATTATTTGTCTAGAGAACAGGCTGTGGTGGGTGGAAGTCTATGGAGGGGTAAAACCAGAGAGATGGGGCAGAGTCAAACAGACCAAGGCTGAGACCGGGTGGGTGGGATGGGGTGGCACCCTCTGATTCCATAGTTACAAGGCCAAGGCTCCCATTGGGTCCCAGGCAGGAAGGACGATGGGCTCCTTCTGCATTACTTCCAGCACCTCGGGGGCCAGGTACTTCTTGTCCACGACCACCTCGTACACGTATTCAGAGAACCATTCGTCGGTCATGATTAGGTAACCTGCACACACACATGGAGATACATTGGGTTAATTCATATAGTTAAAGGTTAAAAAAGACCTGATGAAGGTGTATTGAGATTGTTGGTATAAGATCCACTCAATCTGTAGAGCGTCAAGATCACCTATGCACTGCTTGAGTTCCTTTTCATGAATCATTAGTCTTGAATAACATCCATCTCTAAGACCAGTCAGTCTGAAATTCATTAGCTAACAGCAGTACCAGTGACTCACTCTGTACTTCAGTGGACTGCCCTATACTGAAAGCAATGAGTGTGAGTGTTCTAAAGTGAGAGACCTGATAAGAGGGGCGTCCGTCAGCACCCCTGGTCTCAGACCTATTGTTCCACAGGGAGAGGAGGGAAGGACGGACCTCCACCCGGTTTGTCTCTGTCGCACACAACACCTGGGTTCAAATACTATTTCAAATCTTTCGAATGCACGGCTAAGGACTGTTTTGCTTTAGCCTGCATGGAGTGCCAGGTGGGCTGGGTTTGCACTTCTGGGACTTTTCTATTGGTTCCATTGCACCAGGCAAGCCAAGCTTAAGTATTTGAAATGATGTCAAATAGTATTTGAACCCAGGTCTGTCCCACACTTCTGTTCTGACCTCGCACACCCCAGCCCGATAAATCTCCAGATTGCAAGGGAGGGACTGACCGACACACAGAATTTGATTCATTAACACAGCATTAGACTCTTATCTCCCTCACTAACTTTAAGCATCAGTTGTCAGAGCAGCTTACCGATCACTGCACCTGTACACAGCCCATCTGTAATTAGCCCACCCAACTACCTCATCCCCATATTGTTATTTATTTTGCTCATTTGCACCCCAGTATCTCTATTTGCACATCATCTTCTGCACATCTATCACTCCAGTGTTAATACTAAATTGTAATTATTTTGCACTATGGCCTATTTATTGCCTTACCTCCATAACTTACTACATTTGCACACACTGTATATAGATTTTCTATTGTGTTATTGACTGTACGTTTTGTTTATCCCATATGTAACTCTGTGTTGTTGTTGTTTTTATCACACTGCTTTGTTTTATCTTGGCCGGGTCGCAGTTGTAAATGACAACTTGTTCTCAACTGGCTTACCTGGTTAAATAAAGGTGAAATAAAATTAATTTAAAAAATTAGGCCACTTTATCCTCCCCCCAAAAACAGATTAAAGAATGTCTCGAATGCCACTTCCTCCTGCTCTAATACATTTTCATAACAAGCCCAGAAACACAACCTTCAGTGTACATGATCCCACTCACAGACCTTGGCCCTGAGAACACGTACAGACACACAGGCCAAGGACAGAGAGGACGTCAAATCATAAAGAATAGTATATAAACACTTGATATGAAGAGATTAGGCTGACGAGAGCAGGATGCGTAATGACAATAGAGGCATTCCTCATACATTGTTCTAATTTATCTACAAGAGCAATAGGCCCGTCTGAACAAACTGACAACCCAGACTACAGACAGGAACAGAACAGCTCCAATCTGTCCACGTCGCGATAGGAGGAGACTTGGGATTTGAGCAGGCACGGGCGGGTTCATTTGGGCACGTAGAAAACATTTTCCAACGAATTTTTAAGTCCAGGTAGTCCATTCCTGTTTCAGACTGTTTTCTTCCGTTTGGTGCCTAATGAACACAACCCTGTGGTTATGCAGGGTTGTGTAACGTCAGAGCTGGGGACCAGACCAGATTATATGACCGCTGTTTGATTTTCTTCTCATCTCTGGACCCGGGCAGTGTGTTCAGAGCGGCCCCCCGCTGAAAAGTTCAGTTATCGATGACGTCACGGGGACCTCGGAAAACGTGCCTGAGCTCAAAACAATACCCCCGGTTCTGTGTGTTATTCATTCTGTGTTCATTCTGCGTGTTCTTCCTTTCCAGTTTCCAGGAAAGATGTGTGCGTGTCGGGTGGCGGTTTCGTATAGCGTCATTATTTGTCTTAACGGGACTGCAGATGTGTCCTACGCCGTCTTACAGGGAGAGCTGTGGATGGAGTTTATTCAGATGAACTGTTCTGCTTTAGATAGAATAGTACAGCTGAAATGTCCTGAGCAACACAGGTCACAGACTGCTAAAGAGAGCACTGTCTGCACCACATACTGTTTCCATCATCTCCTTAGTTCGCGAAAACGAGACAATTATTTTCAAAACCTATCTGCGATGACATCACCATCCTACATGTAATAGCAGATTGTAATAGCAGATATAAGAGTGTGTCCATAGTCTGCCCGGTAACGTGATACGTTAACAAGGGAATTGCAATAGCCAGTACAAATATTGTTTCTCACTATACCGAAGTAGTTGTAAAAGGGGTCGTGTAGAATCCGAGAGGTGCGTTGAGAAGGGCACCTCTAGCCTATAAACAGTCTGTCACAATGAAATATCACGTCAGATTGGCCAACATTTCCCATATTTGTATAATAAAATTGGGTAAAAGTACAAATAGTGCACTCTGAGGCCATAATAATCCATCTTGAGAAAAGCTCTGGCATTTGAAAGGTTTGAGCAGTTTGAACCAGGCACCACGGTGTTAACCTAATTAGGTGGGATCCCCTTGGGGGAAACAAAATATTACAGGAAATTGGAGAGATGTTAACCCTCGAAAATGTTCTCCATCCATCGTGGCGTTGACAAGTCCTCCCTCCCTGTCACCGCCTCCAGCTGTCCAACAAACAGTGCTCACCGCCACAACCGCCGCCGTCCTCCACACCGTTTGTTTTCAATAACTTTATTAATACATCCGAGGGAAAAGAGAGCGGATTTGAAGGCTTTCTCCTATCTGCATAGATGTTTATGGAATGGAATATGAGTGAAATACAGTTGATTTGAGGAAGCTTTGGTGGTAGGTTTTTTTTTTATATTCTCAATATGCAGATGATATGAAGTCATTGACCAGAAAGTGGGACTATTCCCAAATAATTTGCACTGGAATGTAGAGCACAGGGTGCGTAGGGATGGAGAGAGAAGAGAGAGGGGGGAAAGAGTGAGAGAGAGACAGAGGGGGGAGAGAGAAAGAGAGAGGTGGGAATGGTGGATAATTACGTCTCTTGATTTAAAAGCCATACAGTCCCAACAGAGATGGGTTCAGTATTTGTTTCCTTTCAAACGTTTTAGCGGCGCTTGATGGAAGAAAAATACTATTTGAACCCAGGCCTGTAGTCTGACAGTGCCTGAGTCTGACACAGAGGAAGTCTGGAGGCGGAAACAAAATGGCGTACTGTTGTGTTGTGAGAGGGACAAAGGGCAGTTGTCAGAGATGGGGAAACAGCCCTGTTATTGTGCTTTCTCTCCCTCCAGGGTTCATAGCCTTAACAGACAAAGCTACGGTAGGGGGCCAGACATGAGAGAATGCTGCAAAACTAACCCCAACCCTCCACACCAGAAGTCAATTCTGATTTCATAACAAATTTTTTTCGCTAATCCTACTTTAAATTCAATCGACCCGACAGGAAATCCAACTGTCCCTATGATTGTACACTGAGCCCTGTGGTGAGAGAGAGGGAAGAGAGAAGAGGAGGGGTCTGCGCTTCACATAGCTTGGCTCAGGCAGACCTAGAGTGGCTCTCATGTTGCGAGAGGCAGACAGCTTGGTGAGAACGGGCCCTCTCCTCATCCTCTGACCTCTGGCTGACTCAGCTCTCACCTTTATTCCCACGGTCGTCACCCCAGGAGTTCTCCACCCTCCACTTCTCATAACCTCCATCCTTTTCATCCTGCTAGAGAGAGAAGAGGGAGAGAGATAAAGAGAGAGACAGAGAACATGGTGGGAGAATATACAGCAATTATACAGTATGTTCATCAATAAGAGAGGAGTGCGTGATTCCCAGTGGGGTGCAGGTCAGAACTGGTAACTCCTATGTTGTGTAACTGTCCAGCTGTTTTGAGGGGAAGGAGGAGACAGCTGGGGTCACTTACAGGGGGGAAATTGACAGCCATTTTAAAACCTGCAGCCGATTTAAAAAAACTGTAAACACACACTGGATGCCTTTGGTACAGAGTCACTGGGAAACACTCAAATGCGGTGCGTATGTACAGTGTGTGTGTGTACGTATGTGTGCTACCTTGTCGGTGACAGCAGTGAGGATCATGGCGTGGGTCATGAGGGAATCTCCGAAGATCAGTCTATCTGCCTTGGACAGGTTCTTTACTGACACCCCAAACACCAACTCATGGTTGAACCTGAGAGAGGGGGGAACACAGGTAGGGACAGGATGAGATCTCTCTCTGTCTCTCACACACACAGATCTGACTGATAGTGAGTTATACATGTGATGTTGACGCATTTATGCCTCTCTCTCATAATACTCACACGTTCATGTCATTGATGCCCAGTTTGCCATGGAAATGCTTGCCCACGTCACAACCGAACCACACAGCCTACGAGAGAGAGAGAGAAAGGGAGAGAAACATGTTATAGGTAGTCTCCCTGCATACTCACTCAGTTCTCAAACGTAGACATTGTCTAACTTCCCAGACACACTCATGCTCACACGCACACACCCCCACACACAGTACCTCTCCCTCTTTGATGGAGTCTGCGGCTGCCTTTTTGAGTAGTTGGATGGGCTGGTTGTTATACAGGGTGTTGTGTCCGCCCACCATGTTGCCCAGGAACTCAACGCTATACAACTTCTCGTAGGGGTTCTGAGGCCGTGGGTCATTCACCAGGCAGATCTGTGGTGGTAGGTGGGAGGGAGACCAGAGGTTAGACTCAGCTCATCAACAAACACAGGGAGAGAGGGTATTAATATAGAGAGGTTTTAATTCCTGACCCCAATCCTTGGTCTAATATGGACTAACTGGGCCCCGGTGCTTTTCCTGGGTCGCAAACTTCAGAAAACTTCCAACGTTTCCAGGATCTTTAGGAATGTTTCAGGAATTTTGCAACCCCAGGAAAAACTCATGGCCCTAATAATTATGACCTCTTGTAATAATGAATTATGATCAACACTGGTCTGCATGACACAAAGCCTATATTGACATTTCATTCAAATAAATAAATAAAGCTAGGTAAAAAGTTGACCTTGTCCTGGATGTTGTAGAGGGGCTTGACCAGCTCCTTGTAGAACTGCTGAGGGGACAGGGGGCCCATGCGGTGGAAGTTCTTGTCCTTGTCTCTGTACTCCCAACTAACGGAGTCAGGAGGGCTGCCCAGACACACACTGGCCACCCGGAAGACCTGTACACACGCGCATACACACGAAAAAACACGTATGTTCGTCATGCATTAACACTATAAGACACAGAGAAAGCACATTGATATCTATCACATAGTCTCTATGTAAAAGTGCCATTGTAAAACTCAAACTCTCGACCAAAAAGAGCTTAACAGTAGTGTGAGGAGGATATCCGCCCTGCCAAATCCCAATCCCTCTTACTCTCTCAGCCTGGCTGTAGCGCTCTCTCTTCCTGTACTTCTGGGTTCTGACTGTTCCCCTGGTGTTCCTCTGGCCTCTACCAGTCTGTTTTGACAGGGTTCTCAGAATAAGCCTTCCTTAAACTGATACCGCGATCTCAGGAATTTCCTTCTAAAAATACATACAGTGTATACCAGTCCTATCAAAGCATATTATTTAAGCGGGTGTTTTGGTGGTTTGAGAACACCCTGCATTGTCGGTCTTCGATAACCCTGCGTCGGGGGGGTCAATCACAAACAGGCTTAAAATGTGTGCACCAACTCCCAAACTGGCATGTACACGTAGGTAGTCTGACCGCTAGTATGCGAGCACACATACGCAATACACACAGACACGTCTATATTTACGAGGACTTCCCATTGACTCCAACTATTTTCATTTACTTTCGGCAAAAAGTCCAGACAACTTAAACTCCTCATAGGGTGAAAATAGAGCTGGGGAATTATTTTTGGCCCCGGAGCTCTTCACTAAAGCAGAGACACTCAGGGGCCGTTGCTGCTGCACTTTCCACTGTGTCAACTACTTCAACTACTAACGGCATTCCTGTGTTCAGGTTGATAGTAGTCAACAATTCCCACATAGGCCCTTGTTGTAAATTAAGAATTTGAAATCTTACTGACTCAACTGGTTAAGTAAAAGGTTAAATAAATAGAACTATTTTCAAAAAGACAGCACACCCAGCCACATTCCCAGACCCTCACAGTAACCCTCACCTTTTCCCACACCCTGACAAGACAGCGCCTTGAAGACTCTGTTTTTTGTTTTCACGGTCCCTTTGCCCCACGGCGCAGACTAAATGCCAACGGTGCCCCTCCCTGCCCTGTATTTAACCAGCACGGGCCCCAGATGCCCCGAACACACAAACAGGCCCCTTTGCCCCCGTGCCCACGGCCCCTGTCCCACCTCACATCCCTCTCTCCTCCTTGGCCGTTTAAATAAACGCCTGTCCCGTCCAAACACAACAGAGCATCCATGTAGACCCGGTGAAACGAGGCTATGCTCTTCACAAAACAATGAGCCAGAGCTCCACTGACATCAGCAGGCTGCAACAGCACAGCCCTCAGTGAGTCAATATTGAAACACCTGCCTCCAAAACAGACAGACAGAGGAAGATGAGCACGAGACACTGGGTGGGCTGGGCACGTCTCCATTAGAGTCATGTATATAGCACTACCGCCAAGATACTTGGTACTGTCTCTTCTGTCCTGTACCTGCTAAAATGTTGATTATGAGTAGCCTTGTTCCATTGTATTCCTTCACTATGTTTACCCACAGTTAATTTCTCAGCACTAGTACAGTCCTCCTCAGTACTAGGCTACCTAATCTCTTACAGATATCCAACCAATCCTGTTGGCGCTCTCCCTTCCTCCCTCCCTCTCAGGACACAGACAGCCATCCATCAGCGTGGACAAGCAGGCTGACAGGACCATGTGTGGAGAGCAGGCGGGCCACCCTCCATCCCTCCCTGCCTGCCTGCCACCCTTCCCTGGCCCTTCGACTGAGGACAGACATACTGGGTTGAGAATGGAGGGGGAGAGGGGCGATTTACGACTGCTGGACCATGCTGGACACCGTGTTTGACCAGTGTCTTTAGAGACTGCTTGCTTTCTTTTTAATGTCTGTGTCACTGTCTGTATATCTTCTGACATACACTGCATAGCTCCTCTCCCTCCCTCCCCCTCCAAAACACTGCTTCAGGGGATGGGTGGAGCTGGTGAAAGAACGCAAAACGCAACAGCAAGAAACCCACGGCTGCCGTCTGTCGGAGGCTGGCTGCTGTGGGTTTGTAAGGTTTTTGTGTGGTTTCTGAGCTCAGACAGGTATCTTCAAGGCCACCCGGCTCCTGATTTTCTGCTCGGCCAGGTTTGAATTAGGGCCTTATCTGAGATGGCGGCTGGGAACCCCTGTTATTGACAGGAAGCAAAAGTGACCCGTGTTTGTAGGGGGAAATTGCACCGCCTGCACCAGAGGACAGTCCTACAATAGCCTTGGATAAACATTAAACACATGTTGTAATAAGAAAGTGTCCATCTTCATAAAGACCGACCCAGACGGTAACATGGGACTGATTAACAGTAGTCTAAGACCTGGCTCTTGTCTTCAAAGGTTTTGCAACGGAAAGCGAAAAGGAGTGTTTCTTAGTTTAAGGTACACGATAATCCCTTCCTGCCCATTTTCTTCCGTTTGGTACCTAATGAACACGGCCCTGTACTAAAAATCTACAGAAAAGCCCCGCAACCCCATTTCATTTGAACAGTCTCAGTATGGATAGATTAAGGAAGCGCCTCTCGATCCACAGCTAGCCACCCCAGCCTCCTGTGGGACAACGCAGACCATATTCCTGTGTCACGTGACACGGATGAAGCGCAGGTGTGGGTAACAAGGCCTGTAATTGGCCGTGGCACCCGGAGAGGCTGCGTGTCTCAGCGGATCATGCTAGCCTTTGAGTGTACCTACGTAGCATGTGTTTGCATGCTTGGCAGTAAACACTGGAGAACCTACAGCACGACAGCCAGTTAGCATCAATGCTACAGCAACACACACGCTCCATCCTTTCCTCCTCGGCTCACGCATGCCTGTTTGTTTGTTGATTTACCTCCCGTTGCCCAAACAGAGGGAAATCACCTCTTGTTAGGAGAGAAATAAACAAATGAACACGACAACAGCACGCCACACTATAATACCTTCTGCTGGTAACTGTGAAGGGTGGACCCTGCCACGGCCCGTATTCACACAAAGCGTCTCAGAGTTGGAGTGCTGATCTAGGATCAGTTTTTCTTTTGAATCACAACAAATAAAAAGGGGTGACCTGATTCTAGAGATCAGCACTCCAACTCCAAAATGCTGCTTTCGAGTCAAAGGCCTGGGACACAGAGTTGAAAATGTAGCCTAGATGAAACTGTAAGCAAATGACCCGTACGAGAGAGCAGCTGGGGTAGAAGAAATTGACTGGGGTTGATTGAGACTTTCTGGCTTTGTAAACAGACAACACATGGGGTCATTACAGATTGTAACAATGTTGTTAGATTAAGAAATATGAGCTTATGAAGTGTGGCAGGCAGCTTTTCAGTGCTGGCAAACAAGCCCACACAATAACACAAACCCACCCACAGCGACCTGCTGCTACAGCCTGCGCTGGGCCAACACACTGTCTGCGTCCCAAACGGCACCCTGTTCCCTTTATAGTGCACTACGTTTGATCAGAGACCCCAATTGGACCTTGTCAAAAGTAGTGCACTACATAGGGAAAATAGTCCATTTAGACGTAGCCATTATATAGGGAATAGAGTCCATTGAGACGTACATTTACATTTTAGTCATTTAGCAGACGCTCTTATCCAGAGCGACTTACAGTTAGTGAGTGCATACATGTGTTATTTTTTTTTATTTATTTTTTTTTCTTCATACGGGCGAACCCACATCCCTGCCGGCCAAACCCTCCCCTACCTTGGACGACGCTGGACCAATTGTGCGCCGCCCATGGGTCTCCCGGTCGCGGCCGGCTGCGACAGAGCCTGGACTCGAACCAGGATCTCTAGTGGCACAGCTAACACTGCGATACAGTGTCTTAGACCACTGCGCCACTCCGGAGTTGTAGCCACTATATAGGGAATAGAGTCCATTGAGACGTAGCCACTATATAGGGAATAGAGTCCATTGAGACAGCAACTATATAGGGAATAGAGTCCATTGAGACTTAGCCACTACATAGGGAATAGAGTCCATTGAGACTTAGCCACTACATAGGGAATAGAGTCCATTGAGACAGCCACTACATAGGGAATAGAGTCCATTGAGACGTAGCCACTATATAGGGAATATAGTCCATTGAGACGTAGCCACTATATAGGGAATATAGTCCATTGAGACGTAGCCACTATATAGGGAATAGAGTCCATTGAGACAGCCACTACATAGGGAATAGAGTCCATTGAGACGTAGCCACTATATAGGGAATAGAGTCCATTGAGACGTAGCCACTATATAGGGAATATAGTCCATTGAGACTTAGTCACTATATAGGGAATAGAGTCCATTGAGACGTAGCCACTATATAGGGAATAGAGTCCATTGAGACTTAGCCACTATATAGGGAATAGAGTCCATTGAGACTTAGCCACTATATAGGGAATAGAGTCCATTGAGACTTAGCCACTATATAGGGAATAGAGTCCATTGAGACTGAGCCACTATATAGGGAATAGAGTCCATTGAGACTTAGCCACTATATAGGGAATAGAGTCCATTTAGACTTAGCCACTCTAAACGTACACGTAGCATGTCTGTCAACTCACTGTCCAATCAATTACTCTTTACGATCTACAAACACAGCACTTATATTGGACACAGTCATACGTGCCTGAAGGAGAATTTCTACTCAGAATGTCCGGCGCCCAAATGGGCACGTTTTATACATTAGAAGCAGCAAAGGACTGTTTATGATTCATTCTGCATGACGCAATGCAACATGTACCGGACAGAATGAGTGCCGCAGAGAGGATGTGAGGAACGTGTGTGTGTGTGTGTGTGTGTGTGTGTGCGTGTGGTCGCGTGCTAGCAGTCAGACTACCTACGTGTGAGGTGGTGTGTGTGCCTGTACATGTATCTGTGTGTGTGCTTGTAAACGTCTCCCTGTGTTTGTGCGCTCCTGCACGCCTGTTACAGTGTACATGTCTGTGTGTGCTTCTGCAGACACCAGGACATTAAAGGGAGACGCCAGGTCTTTGAAGCTGGTGTGTAGCATGGTGGTACGTGGTGCAGCCTGGTCTCTGGCTCTCAGGCCTGTTATGTGGAGTCTGGACGGGGAGAGAGTGATGCTCTCCATCCCCCCGTCACACTGCTCACACAGGGAGTGTGCACAACGTCAGACCCTCCCCCCCTAAAGTAGGCCTGACATCCCCGTGCTTAATGAGGGCCGAGTCTGGGAGCTTTGATCAGCTATGACTCACACACACCAACTCTAAATGTAACCAAAGACACACACCAACTCTAAATGTAAACACAGACACACCAACTCTAAATGTAACGACACACACACCAACTCTAAATGTAACCACAGACACACACCAACTCTAAATGTAACGACACACACACGAACTCTAAATGTAAACACACACAAACTCTAAATGTAACCACAGACACACAAACACCACTTCTGAATATAAACACATGCCACTTCTAAGCATACATACAAACCCACACACACACCACTTCTAAACATACGTAAAAACCCACACATTTGCAAGCACACACCAACACACACACAAACCCACAACCTCTCATACTTGATGTTTACATGGTTTACGTGTGCAGTCTGAACCCAGAACACTGCAAGGTGTCACTGGTCTATAGAAGAGAGGTAAGACACATGCAACACTCGGAGAAGGACTACAATACTCTATAATTGAACATGACATGTTTCAAATGACCTAGGATGCGTCCCAAATGGCACCCTATTCCCTATATAGTGCACTATAAAGGGAACAGTGTGCCATTTGGGACGCAACCCTACTGTGTCAACACATTTTGAGTGACGAGCACACAGAGAAGTTAATTACTGAAAAAGGACCCGACTAACTGATCACATCTGACAGTGTATTCTAGCCTAATTAATTATGGCTAATTTGTTGGCTCGCTAGCTAGTAGCTAATCTAAATCACGGCACAACAGTGATGTTTCAAAGATGCCAAGCATAAATAGAAGCCCGGAAGCGCAGTCAGCGCACCCTTCTCCGTCCAGAGGCCCACGGGATGGGAGGAGAGGCACTGGTTACACCCCTCACCCTGCTGGTCCAACATCCCCCCCATCTCTCTCTTCACACTCCCCCTGGCTGCCAGAGCTGTGTTACACAAAACAAACTACTACCAGGTGGACAAACAAACCCCTCTCTTGTTCATAGGAGAAGTGCAACGAGGGAGAACTGGAAGTGTTGCGCAATCAGAACGTACTGTAGCTAGCGTAGGGCATCCAGAGCAGCAAGGCTAGTAGTCTGTTTAAACAAGCAGTCGGGCATATACAGCAAAACCGCTCCACACAAAAGCTACATCCTTTATGTAATGTTCTCTCTCTGGCTGTGTGATATTGACTGACTGGCCTCACACACCTCCATTCTCCAAGGCTCCTCTGTCTTAAGTGGTACTGGGAATGTTGCAACATTATGACGTTTTTCTCTCACAGTGAAATTGCCTTACGCCATTCAATGTCAGGAGCGTTGCGATAAAGATCTTGTTTATGGAACATTCTGTCATCAGGTCTGTGAGGCGTGTGTGAGTGCGAGTGTGTGTGTGCATGTGGACACACACGCATGTGGACAGACACACACTCTCTTTGCTGCCAGAAGTATAGAATCACAAGCTGTCACCAGTGGATTATAAACAGTATGAACCATATATCACTACAGCCATTGTTGCTAAATGTGTAAGAGTTGGGTTACGCAATGTTATGTAGCGCTGGGAGGGGCTTGTGATTATGTCCTTATTCATTACTACCGATAAAGCACTTTAACAAAAGAAACATCGCTATTTGGGCATTTATAGCAGTTTCTTTTCTAAGCCCACTTATGTCAAACATCCTGATTTAAGGTAGAAACAAATTAGGGGGATTATTTAAGGGGGAATTTAGCTACAACAAATTCCAACAGCGGTGGTATCTAGCAATTAGGCCTAGATATCTATCTGAACAGAGGAGGGTGTCTATCCACTGTCTGACTGTTACGAGATTTGATAGAGGAATCAGTGGTGTGGTGAAAGTCAATACAATATCAAGTCAACAATATTAGATGGGGAAGTGTACTATTCACGCACACAACTTTGTAATCAACCTGTAGCCTTCTGTGTACTGCTACAACAGGCGACAGATAGATTTGAATTGAATGGCCAATATCAAATCTGAAAACAAATACTGCCTAATAATAACTGGAGCCGTAATCGTTATTGTCCTTGCCTACCCAAGACCTGCCGTGTTAAATACATACAGGCGTGCTACAGCATGTGTCCTATTCCTTCCCTGGATGGAGCAAAGATCTATGTGCTGTTATGCAGCCCCCTCCTCTGGACAAACTGATGCAGCGCTACAACATTATTGAAGTGCTGAGGAAAACGGTGTGTGTGTGTGGTGTGTGTATGTTGTGCGCTGTGTTTGGAGTGAGTCGTATGTGTCTTTCTCTAACATGCACTTACCTCCTCAATCATGGTGTCCATTGCGTCAGACAGCTCGGCTTTAGTGGATTCACTGGCCACCATGTTCCGCAGTCTTAGACAGTATTCTCTCAGCTGAAAGCCAGCGAACATTGACATGACATACTACACAGCTATCTTTATTACCTAATGACATTGTGGAGCATGTTGGGTTAGGGTTAGTTATCTGGGTCTTCTATAAGAAACGACACCAAAATAAAGGTGGCTTCTATGCTCTTTCCGTGGTGTTTCACTGCGCTAAGTAGAGTGTATATGCTTGTATTGCCTTGTCTTGGTATGAAACAGGAGGACTAGGTTTTGATATTGTATTTCTACACAAGACATAATTATGAATCAGAATGTTGTAAAGATGTAAGTGAATAAACCTACCTTGTGATTGAGGATGTCATTCATTCTCCGTGAGGCCTCGGAGCTGTGAGACTCTGGGAAGCATTTCTTTGGGATAACTCCGTACTTTTCTGATGACCGGGAAAGGTAATAAAATATATATGCCATTTAGCGGACACTTTTCTCCAAAAGCGACTTACTGTCATGCATGCATACATTTTTCGTATGGTAGGCCCCAGCTGGAATCGAACCCACGACCCTGGTGTTGCAAGCGCCATGCTCTACCAACTGAGCCACAGAGGACCATAACTTTAAGGCTTTGCCGATTGGCTCTGGTCAAATGTAATGCACTATATAGGGAATAGGATGCTATTTGGGATGCAAACTTAATATAAACCACAAACCTGACTCATTAAAACAGTGAAAGGGTATGAGCAAGCACATTACGTAAAGTGACACATATACCATATAGTTACATAGAATGTCTAATTACAAGGAATTACACAGTAACTACAATAGTAACTCATTAGAAACAGAATCTAGACAGTTCTAGTATAATTTTGCTTATTTTCTGCAGTAAACCGCCACCGCCGAGTAGTTACAGTCCAGTTACTAAGGTAGTAACACGGTGCGTCCCTAAAGGGCACTCTATTCCCTACATATGACCCCTGGTCAAACGCAGTACATGTTAAAGGGAATAGGGTGCCCTTTGGGACGCAGCCATGACATAATGACATAGCATAATGCAAGCGTTGCAGCAACACTCCCCTGATCGGGTAATAACAGGTGTCAACTGACCAATGAGGTTGACCAGCATATCCCACTGGCCACCGTCGTTGGTGGGATTGGAGAGAAGGAACTGGACCAGTCTGCCGTCTACAGGCTCCTTCCTCTGGGCTGTCTCCACACAGGCCTGCAGGAAGTAGTAGCACCGCTCCACCTGAAGGGAGGGAGGGAGGGAGGGAGGGAGGGAGGGAGGGAGGGAGGGAGGGAGGGAGGGAGGGAGGGAGGGAGGGAGGAGGGAGGGAGGGAGGGAGGGAGGGAGGGAAGGCAGAAAAGGGACATGATGGAGAGAGGAGACGAGAGAGAGAGATTTAGATAGAGAGAGAGAGAGAGAGTCACGGTGACGTCCAATCGGTACAACATTGTCCAGTGTACAGAGAGCCACACACAAAGGGGGTTTAAGGCAGACAATGAGTCTAATAGTACCAGAGATACACACTGCCAAACACACCAACACTGTTCACACCCCACCCCTGAAATGTAAACAAACACTTTGTATATACTAGCGTTGCTAAATATATAAATGAGATTTTAATAAGACAAACAAATGTGGTCTTACCTTGTCCCAGAAGAAGAGGTAGGACTGACTGAACTCAAACTCCTCGATATTGAACTTTTTCATGAAGGGAAGGCGCATGACGTTGAGGCACGAGAAGATCCAACATCTCCCTGAAACCCACAATCAGCGCAGACGAGTATGGAACTGTGCATATGGAGCAACTGTGTAGGCCTACGTGTTTCAATGGCTGCTTTCCAAATGGCACCCTATCGCCTATTCATAGACACAAAGTTAGGCCTCTGATTTTGTGTAATGACTGTAACATGTCATTACAGAAATCAGACAAAATGTTGCATCAAAAACGCAGCAATGAGAGCAGTGTGTTTGGGAATCCCAGCCTAAAACCCCAAACAGCAAGCAATGCAGAAGCACGGTGGCTAGGAAAAACTCCCTAGAAAGGCAGGAACCTTGGAAGAAACCTAGAGAGGAACCAGGCTCTGAGGGGTGGCCAGTCCTCTTCTGGCTGTGCCGGGTGGAGATTATAAAAGTACATGGCCATTTAAGGCCAGATTGTTCTTCAAGATGTTCAAACGTTCATAGTTGACTAGCAGGGTCAAACAATAATCAGTGGTTGTAGAGGGTGCAACAGGTCAGTACCTCAGGTCAGTTGGCTTTTCATAGCTGAGCATTCAGAGGTCGAGACAGCAGGTGCGGTAGAGAGGGAGAGTCGAAAACAGCAGGTCTGGGACAGTGGGTAGTGCACTATATAGGGTAGAGCACTATATTTCCCTATATAGTGCACCATTAAGACTAATGGGGATCCTAATCAATCAAATCAAAAAAAAATGTACTGCCGCCTATAAGGCTCTGGTCAAATGTAGTGCACCATGTAGGAAATAGGCTGCCATTTGGGAAGCAGCCACCACATCTCTGCATCAGGTACGTAGACCTATTTCGTTAATTTTAGTTTGGAAGCACCCTCTAACACTACTGTGCAGTCTTTGTACATGGCCAGGCCTCTGAATTAGCTGCAGATGCTGGGTGTCAAATATATTGGCACCCTTGAATAAAACACAATTTCTTCACAGAATAATTGTTGAAATTGAAAAACTTTGTGTTTAAACATGTATTTGTTTGATTTACAGCTGCACAGGACAAAAAAATATATTCTAAACTGAAATTGAGATTTTTCACTTCAAAGTCAAAAATGGCCTGGACTAAATTATCTGTAATTTAGGTGGCTACAGAACATTGTGCTCCATTGCACTCCATTGTAAAGTGCAAGGGTGCCAATACATTTGACCGTATCTGTAAGTAAGTGTACCTGAGTTTTTCTGGTTGGTGATAGGCTTGCCCTCTGTGGGTATGGAATGCTGAAATATGTGCACGGTGTCCTGGACTGTCTGCCTATGCAGACACACCTCCAGCGGGTCGATGCACGTGGACACGTTCTGGGCCAGCAGGTACCTGGGCTCCGCCCGCAAACGCTTCACAAAGGAGGCAATCTTCTCCTGACTCAGACCTGAGTAGGACAAGAGAGAGGTCATAATTTTTAAGGAGACAGGGACAGGGTTAGCCTGGTTACCAGTCTTTTTATGCTCTCTTGCCAACTTCGTAATGGAATTCTCATGCCAAACATTGTTCAGCGTGACAAGGAGTTGGCAAGAGCGCAGAAACAGATCTGGGACCAGGCTTAGACAGGGTGTATTAGGAATGGAAACAGTCTGGATGAAACAAAGTGGTGAAAAGCTGTAATATAAGGAGGATGTTATTTGTGTTTGACCTGGCAAAGTGGCAATGGGTTCCTAATTGCAGCGGGACAGGACTAATAAAGTTGTACTGTATTGAATTGTCAAGAAAGGGAGCATTCAAATAATGCCTTGCCCCGCCCTCGTCCACTCCACACCGGACGATGTGGTACAAAACAGCAGGACTTCAAGTTCGGTTTCAAATTCAAATATGTTCACATCCTATTTTGACAGAAATTATCAATTTTGCCTTCAGAAAGTATTGATACCCCTTGACTTATTCCACATTTTGATGTGTTACGGTCTGAATTCAAAACGGATTACATAAATGTTTTTCCTCACCCATCTACACACAATACCTCATAATGACGAAGTGAAAACATGTTTTAGACATTTTTGCAAATGTATTGAAAATTGAATAAGTACTCACACCCCTAAATCAATACTTTGTAGAAGCACCTTTGGCAGCAATTACAGCTGTGAGTATTTCTGGGTAAGTCTCTAAGAGCTTTCAAGAACTGGATTGTGCAACATTTACCCATTATTGTTTTCAAAATTCTTCAAGCTCTGTCAAATTGGTTGTTGATCATTGCTAGACAATCGTCTTCAGGTCTTGTCATAGATTTTCAAGTAGATTTAAGTCAAAACTGTAACTCGGCCACTTGGAACATTCAATGTGTTCCAGGGCTGACCCCATTTAGTCGACTGGTCGATTGTTTGGTCGATAGGCTGTTGGTGGACCAAGATTTCTTTAGCCGAGCAGAAGCAAAAAAATATAATGTATCATGGTGTACAAGACACCTGTCTAATTGGCACATGTCTGAGTGGACTAATCCATTGTTGAGGCCATGGGAATGGCACAGTCTATCACTAAGACGTGCTACTGAAATTGTATATGGTTATATTACGTAAGAACAATGGTGCAACACTAATACATTTTTATTTTATTTTATAACAAATGTGCTTTGTCCCACGTTGGATAGCGGTCGCTGTCCGCGGTACTGAAACATCAGTGAGCTGTTGAATTGGCTCCTTTTCCTGGACCATGTTGCTATGTGCATAATAGCAAAGTTAACCAGCATATTGGTGTTGAGAACAATGCGGCGGAGGCAGCAGCGGAGTTAGGAGACGAGAAAACAGCCCTTGCCTTAATTGTCTAAGAAAAGTGAGGAGAGAGGAAACTGACTTAATTAGGTCTATAATCAATAGACTAACTGTTAGATGTGCCTGGCTTTATAAATTAACCATACAGTGAGGGAAAAAAGTATTTGATCCCCTGCTGATTTTGTACGTTTGCCCACTGACAAAGAAATGATCAGTCTATAATTTTAATGGTAGGTTTATTTGAACAGTGAGAGACAGAATAACAACAACAAAAATCCAGAAAAACGCATGTCAAAAATGTTATAAATTGATTTGCATTTTAATATTACTTTTATTTGTCGGAGACAGCCCTACTGTGTTCTTGGTAAGCAACTCCAGTGTAGATTTGGCCTTGTGTTTTAGGTTATTGTCCTCCTGAAAGTTAAATGAATCTCCCAGTGTTTGGTGGAAAGCAGACTGAACCAGGTTTTCCTCTAGGATTTTGCCTGTGCTTAGCTCTATTCCTTTTATTTTTTATCCTGAAAATCTCCCTACTCCTTAACGATTACAAGCATACCCATAACATAATGCAGCCACTACCATGCTTGAAAATATGGAGAGTGGTACTGGATTTACCCCAAACAGAACATTCTGTATTCAGGACAAAAAGTGAATTGATTTGCCACATTTTTTGCAGTATTAAGTTAGTGCCTTGTTACAAACAGGATGCATGTTCTGGAATCTTTTTATTCTGTACAGGCTTCCTTTTTTCCACTCTGTCAATTAGGTTAGTATTGTGGAGTAACTACAATGTTGTTAATCCATCCTCAGTTTTCTCCTATCACAGCCATTAAACTCTGTAACTGTTTTAAAGTCACCATTGGCCTCATGGTGAAATCCCTGAGTGTTTCCTTCCTCTCTGGCAACTGAGTTAGTAAGGACGCCTGTATCTTTGTAGTGACTGGGTGTATTGATACACCATCCAAAGTGTAATTACTAAGCTGTGTGCGGGCGCGCAGCTCCCCCGGGACTGCCTCGCAAAAAATATATCAGCCTGCACAGAGAAGCACGAGATTGAACTTCACTCAACTTTCTAGAGTTTTCCCCATTAGTTAACACTATCAAACATTTCCCTTTACCCGTTGGAATTGTGATCGAATCAATGCAATATTAGCCACTTTCAATGCAACATACCGAAACAAAACAAACTATGCAAGAGATTTTGTTGTAGGCAGAACGCATCTGAGTGGGATTCTATTGCATTGACAGGCACAACTCAGGACCGTACTCTACACAGACCGGTGCGCCATAACCAATTAGAGCTGCAGTAGGCCTATATGCAAATTAACCATTGCAATATATAGATCTGTGCCATTCACTTTGAACTGGACTGTGTTTACAGCATGAGCGGTCATGAGTAGATGCACTTGTTTTGAGATCAAAGTGAGAGCTACATGTATCCACGTGTGCACATTTGTTCATATCCTACGCTAGTTAGTGAGTTATTAGACCAGTTATAGATAATTCGTAGTCAGCAATGGGGGAGTGATTGCTCCTACAAGAGCACAAAACGTGTGCATTTCTAGCCAACTTTGTAAAGTGAGTCAAGAGCTTTTTTTTCCTCTTAAAGGGGCAGTGTTGTATTTTGAGACAGGCTTGAATAAGCTAAGTAGCCAATAGGCAGAGGGTAGTATAATTTGTCTGATTCTCTGTAATAAGTGGTTTCTTGCATCAAACAACAACATTTTCAGTCACCTACTTGTCTGAAGGACAACTGGATACACAGGTTAATGTCAATCCATGCATGTTTTTTTTCAAAAGTCTCAAGGAATGTAGGCCTACATTGAACACATCACATTAGCTGCTACTGTAGGCTGAATGATAGAACTGCTATTTCCATGTTAAAATGTTATAGGATGCATTTTCTCCATTGTTTTTGATGGTAGGTCACTCTGGTAGGCCCACATTTTGATCAAATAGCCACAGTTACCTACTTGACCACTGTTAAAACTAACTTAAAGTGGGTACAGCCTCAGTGTTCACAGTAAACACGTGCCGGAAGTTGCACAGAATTTTCACTATGTTCAAGTTTGCGCTCAACAGACCTGAAATTTGCTCAGTGCCTAAAAAATGTAGGGAACATTGGTGTAGGCCAGTGACAGAAATATATATATTTAATCCATTTTAAATTCAGGCTGTAACACAACAAAATGTGGAAAAAGTAAAGGGGTGTGAAAACTTTTTGAAGGCACTGTATTGTATATGCGAAACTAGAACTATCTGTAGTAGAAGTACACTGATAAAATAATACTGGTGTGTCATTCCATAAAATACTGCACAGCAATTAAACACTGAGAAGAACATTGCTTAATCATGCATACTGCCTGACTCAAGCCCTATTGGTTCTGGTCTGTTAGGTTATTTTCCATTGACAGAAAAGTTTAAATACATGGCCATTCCTGGGTGTATTCATTAGTCCACACCGTAGTAAAGCGTAGCAAACAGTTTGCAATGAAAATTAGCGTTCTTTATTGGACAAATTGAGGTAGGTCCCTCCCTGTTTCGGCTGTTTGCTTCATAGTGAATACATCCCAGATCTACAGGGATTGACAAACTCACATGCCTCAATACTCTTCACCACACTGTCAACTTGCTACAGTAAATGGATAATAGAGACCCTATTATGAAGATACTGATTTAATCAGTGTACATAACCAAGAGGGGTGTGTCGCCATACAAACGCAGGGATAGGCTGAGAGACCATTCTAATGCAGCCTCCACAGAATGGAAAAGCATGAATGGGAATGACTGTCAGTGTCACTTTAGTTTTGTCTGGAAAGGTGCCAAAATGGTGTCTAGAGTGACTTGCAACTTTACATATGAGTTGTTATATAGCTTTTATGACTGACTTAGCATCTTTCCTGGTCTTTGGGTGCAAGTCTTTCAGAGGTCAACAAGGTACCAAATCGCATCACACCATAAGATCAAAGTCTATCACTATAAACCTGTTGTCACATAGTGTCAAACATCCTTCCCTGTCTGGTAGCCTAATGTTTTATGGTGCCAGGGGAGGGCATATCCTGACAGCTTAGCTTAGTATTAGGTTGGTCGTGCACTGCCTGCTTGTTGACAAACACTGCTTCCCACTTTGTCTCACTTTATTCCCACATTATTAAAGGGGCGGCAGGTAGCCTAGCGATTAAGAGCTTAAGGTCGCTGGTTCGAATCCCGAGCGGGCAAGGTGGCAAAAGCTGCCGTTCTGCCCTTGAGCAAGGCAGTTAAGCCCCAACAACAACTGCTCCCCGGGCGCCGATGACCTGGACGTCGATTAAGGCAGCCTCCCGCACCTCTCTGATTCAGAGGGGTTGGGTTAAATCCACTTTCCCTTTATTGACTAGCACTGGCTAATGCTCACCTAAAAAGTTGGTTAGATAGCTAGCAAGTTGAGCTGCCTTCTATGTTAACTGACTGACTGGCTAACTAACACAGTTAGCTGCCAAGCCGATAGTTGACTAACGTTACATTGAGTTAGCAAACGTTAGCTAGCTAGTTAGTTACTAGAAACCATCAACTTTTCTGGCACTGACATCTGGGAAGCAAGCTAGCTAACATTTTCTGTCATCTCATTATCAAAGTGAAAATACACATAAGAAAGCTGGCTGGTTGGCTATGCTATGTTAGCTAAGCTATGTTACCTAACTTAGCTAACTGGCTAGCTAATGGTATATCTGAAAAGTGACATAAAGCTAGCCGGCTAACGTTAGCTCGCTTGCTAGCCATTAGCCAGGAACGCAAATTGAGTCCACATGCTGGCTATACAAGTGACAATGAATGAAATAAGACAAAGTAACACATGACATACCAGTCTCCATGTTTCCGAAGAGGGTTAGCAAGTGTTTCTAAATGTCTTTAAAAGTCACCGGCTCTTTGTTTATCTCATTCGCCGACAGTCAGTCAGTCCAATCAGAGTTCCGACCGGAAACAGGAAACATAATTGTTACAATGTAGCCCCGATCATCAGATTCATTATAGTTGAAGCTCTATACCAAGTTATTCAGTTGAAATGTGACAATCATTGTGGAATGTATATATACCGTTCTTATTATTACTTAATAACTAATTTTGTTGCTCTCATTTTACATTTTGAACTACCTTGCGGTTGGCCTGAATTGGTTCAAAATCTAGCCAAGGGTGGATAGAAACAACAAGGAGATTTACTATACAACATGGGCCATGCCATTACACAATCTTTCTTTGAAAGAGGATAAAATGAAATTCAATAAACAGACACAATCAAAAACATACACATTCAACACACTTTCTTCTTGGTTTCCATGAAAATGTATTCTTTAGTAAATGTAATGCTAAATGTTAACTATTATTTTCTATCTAAAGAATTAATAATTGTGCCCAGCCCACAGAGTTTGGGGTTCAGCCTGAGGAAGGATGTGATTTGTATTTTGGAGTTGGAGAGAGAGAGAGAGAGAGAGAGAGAGAGAGAGAGAGAGAGAGAGAGAGAGAGAGAGAGAGAGAGTGCGTGCGTGTCTGTCTGTGTGTGTGTGTGTGTGTGTGTGTGTGTGTGTGTGTGGTTGCGTGCATGTGCACACTTGTGTGTGTGTGTGTGTGTGTACTTCCTTCCTAACTTCCAACTCGACTGAGGCAGCTAGTGGAAACCATTTCGCAATTGTGGAGAGTACATTCCCAATGAGGGGGAAAAATGAAACTAGAAAGTGAGAGAAAGATTGAGAAACAAAGAAGAACAATGTTGGGTCCAGCTTCCTGAGGCACCAGGACATTGTCTAGGGGCTGCTCTATGGAACCCGTCATGAGCTCATACAGGGGAAAGGAACTAGAAGGAAAACGCTAAAGAAAACCGTACTATTCTATGGGGAAGAAAGACATGTACAACTGTCTGTTTCTCTCAATTACTTGTCTATGCATTCTCCCGGGTAAGTCCAACTACTCTTGTTTAGGATTCCTGACAGTTGTGGATATAACCTTGGTTTTAAAACCATACTTAGGATGACCAACAAATACCTGAAACCGCTATCTAGGATGTCGCTCAAGATCAGAAAAGGAAGGACAAGTAATCAATCAAACAATCTAATCTAAATTGATCTGCTTTCCTACAAAAGAGGTATCATGAGAAAGAACTACCCTCAATTAACTCTCTCTCATTACTATAAATGTAGATTGCTATTAGGATATTAATTGCTGTAGATGCTGCTCCTCTATTGTCTAGTGAATTTTTTATATTATATTTATATGTTCACTTTTTTAAATGTTTGTTCCCTCAGGTTATGATGCAGAGGAATGTGTGACTTCTGTCTTTGCAAAGAAAAGAAATGTTAACGTACCAAAGGGGGGCACTCTTTCCCTATCCTGTGTTGTTCAGCATTGTGGAGATGATGGCTGGACAGGGGGATGGGGGCTGTCAACAGAGGGACAGTTCCTTCTCTTTAGTCCCACTCCAAGGCATCATCTCTCCAACGTCACATTGACAACCAATAGAACCCGCCTGCTCATGGACATCCTCAACGTCAACCAATCAGATTATGGAATGTACCATTGCCAGATCACCTGGGTTGAGGGATACACCAGTGTTGGACATATGACATATGTGAACATCACTGCAGGTAGATATGGTCCTTCTAGTCTACATCAACTCATTGTTAATCAGTTGCAAGTAATGTACAGTATGTATTTATTTTTGTCCACGCTTTGTAAGATTTCCCCCCAAAATGAGAAACAATTACAGAAAATGATCACTCCACATTCCCAGATGACAGGTAGACTGGTATGCCTGTGCTCTGACTTCATTGATGTGCTATACCCTTTCTCTGCAGCCATACCACCCACATCCGTGAGGAAGGTCTATTTCAGGGTCGTGGTGTATGTAAGTACCTGTTTGGTAATCACCCTGGTTTTGGTTCTGGGTCTGGCTTGCCATATAAGGTCAAAGGTCCCATCTCAGCCCCCACCAATACCACCTCCCAAGCCCCCACCACGCTCCCGAAGTGTACGCAAGGACAAGCCCCGTAAGACATTTCTTTCTTTATCGATACAATTTCATAACATCTTGCTGCAGTATATGTTGACATGCACATTTCTACCACAGCACTGTACATGAACATGATATCCAATTGTACAGTTGATCGTGTCTACTGCTTATTTAAAGGCCAAATCTAATGCTAATTTATGAAGTGCCCAATTTGGTATGCATTAATTCTGCTTTTGACTCTGATCTTTTCTTTGCAGCCACACCCAAGCCTAATCCAAAGATAGAGGTGAGTGTTATTTGAATAATAGCTTCTGAATGTCCTTTTCCTTAACCTTTTCTAGAATGCTTCCTCAGACTAACCCGATTGTCTGTTTTCTTGCAGTTGGTCTATGCAGCTCTTTCAAAGGACTGCCTTGAACAGCAGAATCCTAATCCTCAACGAGAAGCTGCACAGCCCACAGTCTACTCCTCTCTCCGACTCACTGTTTAATGTGGGATGGACAGTGTATGGGCAGTCAGACTTTTATATTGTAGAGACCTCAACCCAACTCCTACCCACTGGGCACACACTGGTTGAATCAACGTTATTTCCACGTCATTTCAATTAAAGTACGTTGACCCAATTTGGAATAGACATTGAATTGACGTCTGTGCCCAGTAGGTAGTGAACTCGTCAAATGGTTCGGATCGCTTGTCGTAAAGGCTAAGGCGTTGGGTTGACAGTCACTGGACCCCGGTTCGAGTCTTGGCCAAGGCTATCCTCTGAATTCACTTCAATATTCACCTCTTCATGTAACAGACTGTGTTGACCGAGTGGTCACATTTCAGTGATCTGGATTGAATGATTTCAGATGCATTCTGATTATGTACGTGCATGCAGTAACTGCCATCCACACACTCAGCTAGATCGTGATGCCATGTGAAAAGCATCTGTGAATAGAATCTATGTTCAATGTTCTAAATAATGATTTATGCAACTGTCTTTTATTTGTTAACACTGTAATTATTTTGTAATTTGTGGGAACTACTTTCTCTGCCATATGTTTGAATAAACAAAATAGAACTGATGTTCAATACCAAAATATTGCCACTGCTTGTCAGGGCGTGCTGTAGGTTATTAGGGATTTATTATTCTTCTAAACTGATAGGATGACTAACTTAGAAAGAATGCATTCTTGACTGGGCTAATGTAGGCTGTGACACCTGGCAAGGCTGTGATTGATGTGAAGAGAAGATAAGGATTGTGTCTTCAAATACAAGACTATAATGGTTCATTGTGATCTATGAGTCTTCCTTTGACATGGGAATGATGTCTAAGGGAGCTGGCTCTTCTCACTATGACAGGTTGTTATGATAATCTTGTGTCTGCCTGGAGTGTGTAACAAATGGCGCCGAGGAGATGAGAGCAACCCCCTGCATCAACGGATTGGCTGAGATAGTTTAAACTGCTCAAGTCTTTACTCTAATTGGCCAGCAGAGAAGTGGGAAACTTCCTCTGTATAGTATTTGGGTATTGTTTTCTAGAGCAATGAGTTAGTTCTCTGGGATGTCCTGCGAGGCATGTCAGAGAGCCCGTATATACGAAACATCATATTTACCATTGAAGGTTTTTGCATTAATTAAAATAACTAGTATACCTTAGAAGTCGTGTTGACCTCTTTTGTTCCTGATACCAGATTTGAATTGACGCGACATTGACAAGGTGCAATGGTGGAATCAAACGCAGGACTCAGAACGATATTCCAATCTCTTGTATTACTGCCCATACATAGGCAAAAGGACAACTTGGCCCGAAGGCGAAAATAACGCACAACGGCGAAAAGAAACAGCGCACTAACAGGTGCGACAAAATGTAACCGCGCACAAACAGGTGCGACCAAATGTAACCGCGCACAAACAGGTGCGATAATACTCCAGCGTAGTGGAGAGAAGCTCAACCGAGCAATACACACAACTGACGGAAAATAATTACACACAACACTAGACAAACACAACGAGAAACTTATAGGACACTAATTACGCCAAAACAGAAACAGGTGTGGAAACAAACAGACAAAAGCAAACGAACATGAAACATACAGCGGTGGCAGCTAGAATTCCGGAGACGACGAACGCCGAAACCTGCCCGAACAAGGGAGAGAGGCAGCCTCGGCCGAAACCGTGACACTGCTAAGCAAAGTGGAGCAAATTGTATTAAGTGTTGCCCCCTCTAAATAATGTTCCATGTAAAGCATATCTGTGTTCAGATACTATTTGAAATCTTTCAAATACTTTGAGTGTTTGCTCTAGCCTGCCTGGTGGCCCGGAGGGGCGAGGTTTGCAGTTTTTGGACTATTCTATTGGTCCATTACGCCAGGCAAACTCAATCAAGCACATATATATTGTTTAAGATAATTTCAAATAGTATTTGAACCCAGGTCTAAAGCACGCTATCTCCCATTCAGAATAAACAGACAAGAACAATCAGATATGCCTCTGTTGCTTCCTGTGAGGTCACTGAATTAAGCAACACAACACAAATTGACACAAAATACAACATTTTATTTTATAATACATTCTTAATGGCACATTACATAACGAAATATACATATACATGTGTATGCTTTTTAAATTAACATTTCCTTTCGTTTGACCTCTTTCATTAATTTAATCTGCAATTACATTTTTACATAACATCAATAGCAAAATATAAAATCAATAAATTATGGCCTTATTAACAGAGAGTAGGCTGAGGGGCACTTGTGGATGCCCTCTACAAACTAAAAGACTAGTTCCTATATAACTTTCTGCCCTGCTCAACTTTCTGAGTTTTTGTGTACCACATAACAGAACTCCAGTCACAAATATTCCAGCGATAGGAATTAACCTCTATACAGCTATTGTGCATGGATATTCTCCCAAACTCAAATATAGTTGACTGATTTGGTCACATCAATGGAGACCTTGCCATTTCAATATGTTCCTGGGTGAAGACATACACACGTGAATGTTTATAATCATATAGCGTACAACAAGGTAAAGTGATAATATATTTTGGAACTACAATGCGCTAACATTGTTTTGGGGATTGTAAGATCAACTGTTTTTGCTGTTTGCTTCTACTTAAGACTGAAAAAATAACCATCAAAATCACAAAGCATTCAATCACAGTTCCAAAATATGTAAAATCCTTTAAAAATATTATCTAGCCAAATATTTATTTTTTGAGAAATGTTAGTGAGAGAAAAAAACATTGTGAAATGACTAACTACTGAAAATGATTTCCATGTCGCAGTCTGTGTGTTTCTCAGCTATGCACCCTTTATAACCATAAATGTTTTCAATTAACATTGATTCATTGGGTGAAATACATTTACATTTTAGTCATTTAGCAGACGCTCTTATCCAGAGCGACTTACAGTTAGTGAGTGCATACATTTTCAATACAAATGGATATTAATACAAGGACATGTGAAAAGCAGACCTGGGTTCAAATGCTACATTAAACCATTTCAAATACATTATCTGTGCTTGATTAAGCTTGCCTGGCATAATGGACCAATACAATAGTCCCAAACTGCAAACCAGGCAGGCTAGAGCACACACTCAAAGAACTTGAAAGATTTCAAATAGTATGTGAACCCAGGTCTGGATTCATCAGACACCCACAGCGAAACAGAAAGCAAATAAACCAAATCCAAACTCTCTGCTCAACCTCTCACATAGTGAGAAGCACATGGAAAGTGAAAGGGTTTGAGATAGATTGTAAGGCGCAACTTTGGCTAAATTAAGCTTGTGACAGAGCGCAATGGCATTTTTCTTTTCATGTGAGCAAATCTCCACAAATACATCGCTTGGTTTATAAGGATCAAGTCCCTTACTTCTGCAGCTTAAGACAAACTTGAACACTTCAATACTGTTTGATGAGGGTTGAGCCATAGAGATAAATACCGTATCTATCAATTCCCTGTCAATTCCTCAATGTATTCCTATGAGATAAAAAATAAAATAATGAATTGAAATGGAACTGACCCCAACCCTAGCAACCCTAGTATCTATAGTGGCTTGCGAAAGTATTCACCCCCTTGGCATTTTTCCTATTTTGTTGCCTTACAACCTGGAATTAAAATTGATTTTGGGGGGGTTTGTTTAATTTGATTTACACAACATGCCTACCACTTTGAAGATGCAACATATATATTTTTTGTGAAACAAACAAGAAATAAGACAAAAAAACAGAAGACTTGGGCGTGCATAACTATTAACACCCCCAAAGTCAATACTTTGTAGAGCCACCTTTTGCAGCAATTACAGCTGCAAGTCTCTTGGGGTATGTCTCTATAAACTTGGCACATCTAGCCACTGGGATTGTTGTCCATTCTTCAAGGCAAAACTGCTCCAGCTCCTTCAAGTTGGATGGGTTCCTCTGGTGTACAGCAATCTTTAAGTCATACCACAGATTCTCAATTGGATTGAGGTCTGGGCTTTGGCCATTCCAAGACATTTAAATGTTTCCCCTTAAACCACTCGAGTGTTGCTTTAGCAGTATGCTTAGGATCATTGTCCTGCTGGAAGGTGAACCGCCGTCCCAGTCTCAAATCTCTGGAAGACTGAAACAGGTTTTCCTCAAGAATTTCCCTGTATTTAGCGCCATCCATCATTCCCTCAATTCTGACCAGTTTCCCAGTCCCTGCCGATAAAAAACATCCCCACAGCATGATACTGCCACCACCATGCTTCACTGTGGGATGGTGTTCTTGGGGTGATGAGAGGTGTTGGGTTTGCGCCAGACATAGCGTTTTCCTTGATGGCCAAAAAGCTCAATTTTAGTCTCATCTGACCAGAGTACCTTCTTCCATATGTTTGTGGAGTCTCCCACATGCCTTTTGGCGAACACCAAACGTGTTTGCTTATTTTTTTCTTTAAGCAATGGCTTTTGTCTGGCCACTCTTCCGAAAAGCCCAGCTCTGTGGAGTGTACGGCTTAAAGTGGTCCTATGGACAAAAACTCAAATCCGCTGTGGAGCTTTGCAGCTCTTTCAGGGTTATCTTCGGTCTCTTTGTTGCCTCTCTGATTAATGCCCTCCTTGCCTGGTCCCTGAGTTTTGATGGGCGGCCCTCTCTTGGCAGGTTTGTTGTGGTGCCATATTCTTCCCATTGTTTAATAATGGATTTAAATGGTGTTCCGTGGGATGTTCAAAGTTTCTGATATTTTTTTATAACCCAACCCTGATCTTTCCTCCACAACTTTGTCCCTGACCTGTTTGGAGAGCTCCTTGGTTTTCATGGTGCCGCTTGCTTGGTGGTGCCCCTTGCTTAGTGGTGTTGCAGACTCTGGGGTCTTTCAGAATAGGTGTATATATACTGAGATCATGTGACAGATCATGTGACACTTAGATTGCACACAGGTGGACTTTATTTAACTAATTATGTGACTTCTGAAGGTAATTGGCTGCACCAGATCTTATTTAGGGGATTCGTAGCAAAGGGGGTGAATATATATGCACGCATCACTTTTCTGTTATTTTTTTTAAAGATTTTTTTTTAACACTTAATTTTTTTCATTCCACTTCACCAATTTGGACTATTTTGCGTATGTCCATTACATGAAATCCAAATAAAAATCTATTTAAATTACAGGTTGTAATGCAACGAAATAGGAAAAACGCCAAGGGGGATGAATACTTTTGCAAGGCACTGTATGCAGTATCTAAATACTGTATCTATCTCTATTGTGGATTGATCCATTCTATTGACCTGCGTTGACTGTACTGTATGTGAGGCCAGAGGGAAAGACGACCAGCATTACAACAGGTGACTCAAAAAGAAGCGAAACTACTGCAGCAAGAACTCCTTGTTAGGCAATAGAGGAACTGTCCCCAGACAGACATACTGGGGCAAAGGCAAGAGAGACAGTCCCCCTGGTTAACAACAACATCCCATTCTGAAGGACAGTAACACAACTTACACCAACCTGGACCCATATATGGAGATCGTAACAGAAGAGGACCACAATGAACAATCACTGTAATCTGAGAGATGAGTGCAGCGGAAAAGTGACCTATAACCACAGTTTCCCAAATCAATGATGATGAATGTTATGAGGTTAAAGGCCCAGTGCAGTCAAAAACTAGATTTTCCTGTGTTCTATATGTATTTCCACACTATGAGGTTGGAATAATACTGTGAAGTTGTGAAAATTATAATAATGCCCTTTTAGTGTAAGAGCTTGAAAGACCGCCTGAAATTTCTGCCTGTTCTGGTGGGATGGAGTTTTGGCCTTCCATGGTGACATCACCATGCAGTAAATTGGTTATTAGAAAGAGAGTTCCAAACCTCTCTGCCAATAACAGCTAATTTTCAGTTTTCCCCTCCCCACTCCCAGATAGTCCTAGCAAAATTATTGCTTGAGAAATTGCTATTTTTGTTTCTTTTTGACCATTTGAAAACAAATCACAGTAAGGTACTTAATTGTTACTCAGAAATCGTATGATATTGAGATAAAAATGCCTGCATTGGACCTTTAAAACTTGCCTTGTCTAGTTGTTGGGTTAATGTTACAGATGAGTATTTTAATCAGACCAGCGGCCAATAAAAATGTGATGTCAGTAACACATGGCACCTAGCCTCTCACTGTGAGTTATTTCTGTACCAGACACATCGAGAGAGAGAGAGAGAGAGAGAGAGAGAGAGAGAGTGAGAGAGAGGAACCTTTTTTTCAACACTTCTTAGTTCAGACTCACAGGATTCTCCCTCCTTTCCAGCTCAGTATCTGTCTACCTGTGCACCCTCTATTGCAGTCCACTTAATTCCCTTTAGTCATGAAGTTAAGTACATTTTGTGATTCCATTGTGATGCGCTGTTGATGTTGTGGATGTTTTTTGCTCCAACAGCCAGTGTTGTCCCTTTTTTGGAAAATCCAGATTTCTACTCGGACTGCAATAGAAAATAACAGAAATGTCCCATTACAACAACACCATCATCATCATCATGTATATTCTAATGAGAGATCAAGCTGATAGGTTATTGCAGGATCTCTAGCTAGATAGTGTCCTACAGATAAGAGATGAGGGATGCAGAGCAGACCCAGCAGTGAAGGGACTGTGATACAGGACCAAGCTACTGTCCCTGATGCTGTATCCACCTATCATATCCTAATGACTCTGGAGGAGAGCAGTGGGTCATTTCAAGACTGTATTCACTGAGCAGTGTGTTTATCACACATGCAGCACAGTTGAGTAGAGTACAGTACAGTACAGTGTATAGTGAAGTATAGTATAGTATATAGTATAGTACAGTACAGTATAGTATTATACAGTACAGTATAGTATAGTACAGTACAGTACAGTGCAGTATAGTACAGTTCAGTTCAGTATAGTATAATACAGTATAGTATAGTATAGTACAGTACAGTACAGCACAGTGCAGTATAGTACAGTTCAGTTCAGTATAGTACAGTACAGTACAGTATAGTACAGTACAGTATAGTATGGTACGGTACAGTACAGTGAGACATCACTTACAGTTGTGGAGTGGCTCATCTTGTCAAAGCGGAACTTCAAGTTTGACCTGGGAGACATCTTACTCTTTACATCTGGAGGAGAATAAGAGAAAGCCTCTGTTAACAGAGGAATACATACTATATGATTGAGTGTCAATCACACATTGACGAGGAGAAACAACAAAGTAAGTAACATGTGTGCTTCCTGATAGTTAGAGTAAAGAATGTCAACAAACCCACCATTGTAATCTACAGTGTAAGAGATACAGAGGGCATAGAGACCTACAGTTGAAGTCGGAAGTTTACATACACCTTAGCCTAATACATTTAAACTCAGTTGTTCACAATTCCTGACATTTAATCCTAGTAGAAATTCCCTGTCTTAGTTCAGTTAGGATCACCACTTTATTTTAAGAATGTGAAATGTCAGAATAATAGTAGAGAGAATTATTTATTTCAGCTTTTATTTCTTTCATCACATTCCCAGTGGGTCAGAAGTTTACATACACTCAATTAGTATTTGCCTTTAAATTGTTTCACTTGGGTCAAACGTTTCAGGTAGCCTTCCACAAGCTTCCCCACAATAAGTTGGGTGAATTTTGGCCCATTCCTCCTGACAGAGCTGGTGTAACTGAGTCAGGTTTGTAGGCCTCCTTGCTCACACACGCTTTTTCAGTTCTGCCCACAAATGTTCTATAGGATTAAGGTCAGGGCTTTGTGATGGCTACTCCAATACCTTGACTTTGTTGTCCTTAAGCCATTTTGCCACAACTTTGGAAGTATGCTTGGGGTCATTGTCCATTTGGAAGACCCATTTGCGACCAAGCTTTAAATTCCTGACTGATGTATTGAGATGTTGCTTCAATATATCCACATCATTTTCCTTCCTCATGATGCCATCTATTTTGTGAAGTGCACCAGTCCCTCCTGCAGCAAAGCACCCCCACAGCATGATGCTGCCACCCTGTGCTTCACAGTTGGGATGGTGTTCTTCGGCTTGCAAGAGCCCCCTTTTTCCTCCAAACATAACGATGGTCATTATGGCCACCCACGCAGGCAGTGTGGTGAAGAAGGCGCAACAGAGCCTCTTCAACCTCAGGAGGCTGAAGAAACTTGGCCTAGCACCTAAAACCCTCACAAATAATTGTGCCCAGCCCACAGAGTTTGGGGTTCAGCCTGAGGAAGGATGTGATTTGTATTTTGGAGTTGGAGAGAGAGAGAGAGAGAGAGAGAGAGAGAGAGAGAGAGAGAGAGAGAGAGAGAGAGAGAGAGAGAGTGCGTGTGTGTGTGTGTGTGTGTCTGTCTGTGTGTGTGTGTGTGTGTGTGTGTGTGTGTGTGTGTGTGTGTGTGTGTGTGTGTGTGTGTGTGTGTGGTTGCGTGCATGCGCACACTTGTGTGTGTGTGTGTGTGTACTTCCTTCCTAACTTCCAACTCGACTGAGGCAGCTAGTGGAAACCATTTCGCAATTGTGGAGAGTACATTCCCAATGAGGGGGAAAAATGAAACTAGAAAGTGAGAGAACGATTGAGAAACAAAGAAGAACAATGTTGGGTCCAGCTTCCTGAGGCACCAGGACATTGTCTAGGGGCTGCTCTATGGAACCCGTCATGAGCTCATACAGGGGAAAGGAACTAGAAGGAAAACGCTAAAGAAAACCGTACTATTCTATGGGGAAGAAAGACATGTACAACTGTCTGTTTCTCTCAATTACTTGTCTATGCATTCTCCCGGGTAAGTCCAACTACTCTTGTTTAGGATTCCTGACAGTTGTGGATATAACCTTGGTTTTAAAACCATACTTAGGATGACCAACAAATACCTGAAACCGCTATCTAGGATGTCGCTCAAGATCAGAAAAGGAAGGACAAGTAATCAATCAAACAATCTAATCTAAATTGATCTGCTTTCCTACAAAAGAGGTATCATGAGAAAGAACTACCCTCAATTAACTCTCTCTCATTACTATAAATGTAGATTGCTATTAGGATATTAATTGCTGTAGATGCTGCTCCTCTTTTGTCTAGTGAATTTTTTATATCATATTTATATGTTCACTTTTTTCAATTTTTGTTCCCTCAGGTTATGATGCAGAGGAATGTGTGACTTCTGTCTTTGCAAAGAAAAGAAATGTTAACGTACCAAAGGGGGGCACTCTTTCCCTATCCTGTGTTGTTCAGCATTGTGGAGATGATGGCTGGACAGGGGGATGGGGGCTGTCAACAGAGGGACAGTTCCTTCTCTTTAGTCCCACTCCAAGGCATCATCTCTCCAACGTCACATTGACAACCAATAGAACCCGCCTGCTCATGGACATCCTCAACGTCAACCAATCAGATTATGGAATGTACCATTGCCAGATCACCTGGGTTGAGGGATACACCAGTGTTGGACATATGACATATGTGAACATCACTGCAGGTAGATATGGTCCTTCTAGTCTACATCAACTCATTGTTAATCAGTTGCAAGTAATGTACAGTATGTATTTATTTTTGTCCACGCTTTGTAAGATTTCCCCCCAAAATGAGAAACAATCACAGAAAATGATCACTCCACATTCCCAGATGACAGGTAGACTGGTATGCCTGTGCTCTGACTTCATTGATGTGCTATACCCTTTCTCTGCAGCCATACCACCCACATCCGTGAGGAAGGTCTATTTCAGGGTCGTGGTGTATGTAAGTACCTGTTTGGTAATCACCCTGGTTTTGGTTCTGGGTCTGGCTTGCCATATAAGGTCAAAGGTCCCATCTCAGCCCCCACCAATACCACCTCCCAAGCCCCCACCACGCTCCCGAAGTGTACGCAAGGACAAGCCCCGTAAGACATTTCTTTCTTTATCGATACAATTTCATAACATCTTGCTGCAGTATATGTTGACATGCACATTTCTACCACAGCACTGTACATGAACATGATATCCAATTGTACAGTTGATCGTGTCTACTGCTTATTTAAAGGCCAAGTCTAATGCTAATTTATGAAGTGCCCAATTTGGTATGCATTAATTCTGCTTTTGACTCTGATCTTTTCTTTGCAGCCACACCCAAGCCTAATCCAAAGATAGAGGTGAGTGTTATTTGAATAATAGCTTCTGAATGTCCTTTTCCTTAACCTTTTCTAGAATGCTTCCTCAGACTAACCCGATTGTCTGTTTTCTTGCAGTTGGTCTATGCAGCTCTTTCAAAGGACTGCCTTGAACAGCAGAATCCTAATCCTCAACGAGAAGCTGCACAGCCCACAGTCTACTCCTCTCTCCGACTCACTGTTTAATGTGGGATGGACAGTGTATGGGCAGTCAGACTTTTATATTGTAGAGACCTCAACCCAACTCCTACCCACTGGGCACACACTGGTTGAATCAACGTTATTTCCACGTCATTTCAATTAAAGTACGTTGACCCAATTTGGAATAGACATTGAATTGACGTCTGTGCCCAGTAGGTAGTGAACTCGTCAAATGGTTCGGATCGCTTGTCGTAAAGGCTAAGGCGTTGGGTTGACAGTCACTGGACCCCGGTTCGAGTCTTGGCCAAGGCTATCCTCTGAATTCACTTCAATATTCACCTCTTCATGTAACAGACTGTGTTGACCGAGTGGTCACATTTCAGTGATCTGGATTGAATGATTTCAGATGCATTCTGATTCTGTACGTGCATGCAGTAACTGCCATCCACACACTCAGCTAGATCGTGATGCCATGTGAAAATCATCTGTGAATAGAATCTATGTTCAATGTTCTAAATAATGATTTATGCAACTGTCTTTTATTTGTTAACACTGTAATTATTTTGTAATTTGTGGGAACTACTTTCTCTGCCATATGTTTGAATAAACAAAATAGAACTGATGTTCAATACCAAAATATTGCCACTGCTAAGCAAAGTGGAGCAAATTGTATTAAGTGTTGCCCCCTCTAAACAATGTTCCATGTAAAGCATATCTGTGTTCAGATACTATTTGAAATCTTTCAAATACTTTGAGTGTTTGCTCTAGCCTGCCTGGAGGGCCGGAGGGGCGAGGTTTGCAGTTTTTGGACTATTCTATTGGTCCATTACGCCAGGCAAGCTCAATCAAGCACATATATATTGTTTAAGATAATTTCAAATAGTATTTGAACCCAGGTCTAAAGCACGCTATCTCCCATTCAGAATAAACAGACAAGAACAATCAGATATGCCTCTGTTGCTTCCTGTGAGGTCACTGAATTAAGCAACACAACACAAATTGACACAAAATACAACATTTTATTTTATAATACATTCTTAATGGCACATTACATAACGAAATATACATATACATGTGTATGCTTTTTAAATTAACATTTCCTTTCGTTTGACCTCTTTCATTAATTTAATCTGCAATTACATTTTTACATAACATCAATAGCAAAATATAAAATCAATAAATTATGTCCTTATTAACAGAGATTAGGCTGAGGGGCACTTGTGGATGCCCTCTATAAACTAAAAGACTAGTTCCTATATAACTTTCTGCCCTGCTCAACTTTCTGAGTTTTTGTGTACCACATAACAGAACTCCAGTCACAAATATTCCAGCGATAGGAATTAACCTCTATACAGCTATTGTGCATGGATATTCTCCCAAACTCAAATATAGTTGACTGATTTGGTCACATCAATGGAGACCTTGCCATTTCAATATGTTCCTGGGTGAAGACATACACACGTGAATGTTTATAATCATATAGCGTACAACAAGGTAAAGTGATAATATATTTTGGAACTACAATGCGCTAACATTGTTTTGGGGATTGTAAGATCAACTGTTTTTGCTGTTTGCTTCTACTTAAGACTGAAAAAATAACCATCAAAATCACAAAGCATTCAATCACAGTTCCAAAATATGTAAAATCCTTTAAAAATATTATCTAGCCAAATATTTATTTTTTGAGAAATGTTAGTGAGAGAAAAAAACATTGTGAAATGACTAACTACTGAAAATGATTTCCATGTCGCAGTCTGTGTGTTTCTCAGCTATGCACCCTTTATAACCATAAATGTTTTCAATTAACATTGATTCATTGGGTGAAATACATTTACATTTTAGTCATTTAGCAGACGCTCTTATCCAGAGTGACTTACAGTTAGTGAGTGCATACATTTTCAATACAAATGGATATTAATACAAGGACATGTGAAAAGCAGACCTGGGTTCAAATGCTACATTAAACCATTTCAAATACATTATCTGTGCTTGATTAAGCTTGCCTGGCATAATGGACCAATACAATAGTCCCAAACTGCAAACCAGGCAGGCTAGAGCACACACTCAAAGAACTTGAAAGATTTCAAATAGTATGTGAACCCAGGTCTGGATTCATCAGACACCCACAGCGAAACAGAAAGCAAATAAACCAAATCCAAACTCTCTGCTCAACCTCTCACATAGTGAGAAGCACATGGAAAGTGAAAGGGTTTGAGATAGATTGTAAGGCGCAACTTTGGCTAAATTAAGCTTGTGACAGAGCGCAATGGCATTTTTCTTTTCATGTGAGCAAATCTCCACAAATACATCGCTTGGTTTATAAGGATCAAGTCCCTTACTTCTGCAGCTTAAGACAAACTTGAACACTTCAATACTGTTTGATGAGGGTTGAGCCATAGAGATAAATACCGTATCTATCAATTCCCTGTCAATTCAGGAAGTAAACTAAAATTATAATTCCAATTGTCCTCAATGTATTCCTATGAGATAAAAAATAAAATAATGAATTGAAATGGAACTGACCCCAACCCTAGCAACCCTAGTATCTATAGTGGCTTGCGAAAGTATTCACCCCCTTGGCATTTTTCCTATTTTGTTGCCTTACAACCTGGAATTAAAATTGATTTTGGGGGGGTTTGTTTAATTTGATTTACACAACATGCCTACCACTTTGAAGATGCAACATATATATTTTTTGTGAAACAAACAAGAAATAAGACAAAAAAACAGAAGACTTGGGCGTGCATAACTATTAACACCCCAAAGTCAATACTTTGTAGAGCCACCTTTTGCAGCAATTACAGCTGCAAGTCTCTTGGGGTATGTCTCTATAAACTTGGCACATCTAGCCACTGGGATTGTTGTCCATTCTTCAAGGCAAAACTGCTCCAGCTCCTTCAAGTTGGATGGGTTCCTCTGGTGTACAGCAATCTTTAAGTCATACCACAGATTCTCAATTGGATTGAGGTCTGGGCTTTGGCCATTCCAAGACATTTAAATGTTTCCCCTTAAACCACTCGAGTGTTGCTTTAGCAGTATGCTTAGGATCATTGTCCTGCTGGAAGGTGAACCGCCGTCCCAGTCTCAAATCTCTGGAAGACTGAAACAGGTTTTCCTCAAGAATTTCCCTGTATTTAGCGCCATCCATCATTCCCTCAATTCTGACCAGTTTCCCAGTCCCTGCCGATGAAAAACATCCCCACAGCATGATACTGCCACCACCATGCTTCACTGTGGGATGGTGTTCTTGGGGTGATGAGAGGTGTTGGGTTTGCGCCAGACATAGCGTTTTCCTTGATGGCCAAAAAGCTCAATTTTAGTCTCATCTGACCAGAGTACCTTCTTCCATATGTTTGTGGAGTCTCCCACATGCCTTTTGGCGAACACCAAACGTGTTTGCTTATTTTTTTCTTTAAGCAATGGCTTTTGTCTGGCCACTCTTCCGAAAAGCCCAGCTCTGTGGAGTGTACGGCTTAAAGTGGTCCTATGGACAAAAACTCAAATCCGCTGTGGAGCTTTGCAGCTCTTTCAGGGTTATCTTCGGTCTCTTTGTTGCCTCTCTGATTAATGCCCTCCTTGCCTGGTCCCTGAGTTTTGATGGGCGGCCCTCTCTTGGCAGGTTTGTTGTGGTGCCATATTCTTCCCATTGTTTAATAATGGATTCAAATGGTGTTCCGTGGGATGTTCAAAGTTTCTGATATTTTTTTATAACCCAACCCTGATCTTTCCTCCACAACTTTGTCCCTGACCTGTTTGGAGAGCTCCTTGGTTTTCATGGTGCCGCTTGCTTGGTGGTGCCCCTTGCTTAGTGGTGTTGCAGACTCTGGGGTCTTTCAGAATAGGTGTATATATACTGAGATCATGTGACAGATCATGTGACACTTAGATTGCACACAGGTGGACTTTATTTAACTAATTATGTGACTTCTGAAGGTAATTGGCTGCACCAGATCTTATTTAGGGGATTCGTAGCAAAGGGGGTGAATATATATGCACGCATCACTTTTCTGTTATTTTTTTTAAAGATTTTTTTTTAACACTTAATTTTTTTCATTCCACTTCACCAATTTGGACTATTTTGCGTATGTCCATTACATGAAATCCAAATAAAAATCTATTTAAATTACAGGTTGTAATGCAACGAAATAGGAAAAACGCCAAGGGGGATGAATACTTTTGCAAGGCACTGTATGCAGTATCTAAATACTGTATCTATCTCTATTGTGGATTGATCCATTCTATTGACCTGCGTTGACTGTACTGTATGTGAGGCCAGAGGGAAAGACGACCAGCATTACAACAGGTGACTCAAAAAGAAGCGAAACTACTGCAGCAAGAACTCCTTGTTAGGCAATAGAGGAACTGTCCCCAGACAGACATACTGGGGCAAAGGCAAGAGAGACAGTCCCCCTGGTTAACAACAACATCCCATTCTGAAGGATAGTAACACAACTTACACCAACCTGGACCCATATATGGAGATCGTAACAGAAGAGGACCACAATGAACAATCACTGTAATCTGAGAGATGAGTGCAGCGGAAAAGTGACCTATAACCACAGTTTCCCAAATCAATGATGATGAATGTTATGAGGTTAAAGGCCCAGTGCAGTCAAAAACTAGATTTTCCTGTGTTCTATTGTGACGTTCTGGCTCCGGGACTCTTAGTAGTGAGCCAGGGTTGTCATTTTCGTTTGGGTGTAGTTCTATGTGGGATCTAGTTGTTTCATTTCTATGTTTGGTTTTGATGTTGATTTAGTCATATGACTCCCAATCGGAGGTAACGAGTGTCACCTTGGTTTTGTGGGTTTTTGTTTCCTTGTTGCTGTTAGTCGTTATCAGTATTGAACTTCACTTTCGTCATATTTGGTTTGTTGTTTTGATCGTGGTTTCTTTATAATAAAGTCTACGATGTTCGCTCAACACGCTGCGCTTTGGTCTCCTCCTTTTGACGATCATGACAGAAAAACCCACCATAAAAGGACCAAGCAGCGCGTCCAGGAGCAAAGGGTCTGGACATGGATGGAACTGTTGGACGGTAAAGGGTCCTGGACTTGGGAGGAGATCCTGGATGGTATGGATCGCCGACCATGGAACGAGACGGTGGAGAGGCGACGGCGAGAGGAGCAACGGCATCGGCAGGGCCATCGTCGGAAGGACGAGAGGCAACCCCAAAAAGTTTTTGGGGGGGGGGCACATGGCTTGGGCGACTGAGCAGCAGGAGGCTGCCACAAGGCAGATTCAGAAGGCTACCAGGTTAAGGGGGCTGACGGAGGCAGAGAAGGGACGGATTCAGGAGGCTACCAGGTTAAGGGGGCTACTGGGAAAAGCAGGGAAGGAAGGTGTAGAGGCACGGCGAGAGGTACTGGGGTGTGTAACCAGTCCGGTCCGGCCCGTTCCTAATCCCGAGGTACAGTCAGTAGTGTGTGTCCCCAGTACGGTACGGCCTGTTCCGGCCCCTCGCACTAAGTGTACGGTGCGCGTCGCCAGCCCAGCCCGGCCTGTTCCTGAGCCTCATACGAAGCCTACGGTGCGCGTCGCCAGCCCAGCCCGGCCTGTTCCGGCCACTCGCACCAGGGATACGGTGCGCTTCGCCAGCCCGGCCCGGCCTGTTCCGGCCACTCGCACCAGGGATACGGTGCGCGTCGCCAGCTCAGCCCGGCCTGTTCCTACTCCACGCACCAGGGATACGGTGCGCGTCGCCAGCCCAGCCCGGCCTGTTCCTACTCCACGCACCAGGGATACGGTGCGCTTCGCCAGCCCGGCCCGGCCTGTTCCGGCCTCTCGCACCAGAGATACGGTGCGCGTCGCCAGCCCAGCCCGGCCTGTTCCTGCTCTCCGCACTAGGCCTTATGTGCGTCCCCAGGGTCCAGCATGCCCTGTTGCTGCTCTCCGCACTAGGCCTTATGTGCGTCCCCAGGGCCAAGCATGCCCTGTTGCTGCTTCCCGCACTAGCCCTGAGATGCGTGTCCTCAGCCCGGTACCTCCAGTTCCGGCACCACGCATCAGGCCTACGGTGCGTCCCCAGGGCCAAGCATGCCCTGTTGCTTCTCCCCGCACTAGCCCTGAGATGCGTGTCCTCAGCCCGGTACCTCCAGTTCCGGCACCACGCACCAGGCCTACGGTGCGCCTCAGACGGCCAGAGTCTGCCGTCTGCCCAACGGGGCCTGAACTGTCCGTCTGCCCAACGCCGTCTGAACTGCCCGTCTGCCCAATGGCGCCTGAACTGCCCGTCTGCCCAACGCCGTCTGAACTGTCCGTCTGTACTGAGCCTGCAAAGCCGCCCGTCTGCCATGAGCCTTCAGAGCCGTCCGCCAGACAGGATCAGCCAGAGCCTTCCGCCAGACAGGATCAGCCAGAGCCTTCCACCAGACAGGATCAGCCAGAGCCTTCCGCCAGACAGGAGCAGCCAGAGCCTTCCGTCAGACCGGATCAGCCAGAGCCTTCCGCCAGACGGGATCAGCCAGAGCCTTCCGCCAGACGGGATCAGCCAGAGCCTTCCGCCTGCCATGAGCAGCCAGATCCGTCAGCCAGCCATGAGCAGCCAGATCCGTCAGCCAGCCATGAGCAGCCAGATCCGTCAGCCAGCCATGAGCCGTCCAGCCAGGATCCGCCAGAGCCGTCCAGCCAGGATCCGCCAGAGCCGTCCAGCCAGGATCCGCCAGAGCCAGCCAGCCAGGATCCGCCATTTAGTCAGGTGCTGCCCCTTAGTCCAGTGCTGCCCCTTAGTCCAGTGCTGCCCCGTAGTCCGGTGCTGTCCCTCAGCCTGGTGCTGCCTCTTAGTCCGGTGCTGCCCCTTAATCCAGGTGGGTTTAAGTGGAGGGTGGTCATTGGGAGGAGGTTAAGAAAGCGGGTAGTAACTATAGTGGGGTGGTGGTCAAGCCCGGAGCCGGAACCGCCTCCGGGGAGCAACACCCACCCAGCCCTCCCCTATTGTGGGGTTGTGAGGCGCGGTCGCAGTCCGCGCCTTTAGGGGGGGGTACTGTGACGTTCTGGCTCCGGGACTCTTAGTAGTGAGCCAGGGTTGTCATTTTCGTTTGGGTGTAGTTCTATGTGGGATCTAGTTGTTTCATTTCTATGTTTGGTTTTGATGTTGATTTAGTCATATGACTCCCAATCGGAGGTAACGAGTGTCAGCTGTCGGCTCGTTATCTCTGATTGGGAGCCATATTTATACTGTGTGGTTTCACCTTGGTTTTGTGGGTTTTTGTTTCCTTGTTGCTGTTAGTCGTTATCAGTATTGAACTTCACTTTCGTCATATTTGGTTTGTTGTTTTGATCGTGGTTTCTTTATAATAAAGTCTACGATGTTCGCTCAACACGCTGCGCTTTGGTCTCCTCCTTTTGACGATCGTGACATCTATATGTATTTCCACACTATGAGGTTGGAATAATACTGTGAAGTTGTGAAAATTATAATAATGCCCTTTTAGTGTAAGAGCTTGAAAGACCGCCTGAAATTTCTGCCTGTTCTGGTGGGATGGAGTTTTGGCCTTCCATGGTGACATCACCATGCAGTAAATTGGTTATTAGAAAGAGAGTTCCAAACCTCTCTGCCAATAACAGCTAATTTTCAGTTTTCCCCTCCCCACTCCCAGATAGTCCTAGCAAAATTATTGCTTGAGAAATTGCTATTTTTGTTTCTTTTTGACCATTTGAAAACAAATCACAGTAAGGTACTTAATTGTTACTCAGAAATCGTATGATATTGAGATAAAAATGCCTGCATTGGACCTTTAAAACTTGCCTTGTCTAGTTGTTGGGTTAATGTTACAGATGAGTATTTTAATCAGACCAGCGGCCAATAAAAATGTGATGTCAGTAACACATGGCACCTAGCCTCTCACTGTGAGTTATTTCTGTACCAGACACATCGAGAGAGAGAGAGAGAGAGAGAGAGAGAGAGAGTGAGAGAGAGGAACCTTTTTTTCAACACTTCTTAGTTCAGACTCACAGGATTCTCCCTCCTTTCCAGCTCAGTATCTGTCTACCTGTGCACCCTCTATTGCAGTCCACTTAATTCCCTTTAGTCATGAAGTTAAGTACATTTTGTGATTCCATTGTGATGCGCTGTTGATGTTGTGGATGTTTTTTGCTCCAACAGCCAGTGTTGTCCCTTTTTTGGAAAATCCAGATTTCTACTCGGACTGCAATAGAAAATAACAGAAATGTCCCATTACAACAACACCATCATCATCATCATGTTTATTCTAATGAGAGATCAAGCTGATAGGTTATTGCAGGATCTCTAGCTAGATAGTGTCCTACAGATAAGAGATGAGGGATGCAGAGCAGACCCAGCAGTGAAGGGACTGTGATACAGGACCAAGCTACTGTCCCTGATGCTGTATCCACCTATCATATCCTAATGACTCTGGAGGAGAGCAGTGGGTCATTTCAAGACTGTATTCACTGAGCAGTGTGTTTATCACACATGCAGCACAGTTGAGTAGAGTACAGTACAGTACAGTGTATAGTGAAGTATAGTATAGTATATAGTATAGTACAGTACAGTATAGTATTATACAGTACAGTATAGTATAGTACAGTACAGTGCAGTATAGTACAGTTCAGTTCAGTATAGTATAATACAGTACAGTATAGTATAGTACAGTGCAGTATAGTACAGTTCAGTTCAGTATAGTACAGTACAGTATAGTATAATACAGTACAGTATAGTATAGTACAGTACAGTACAGTGCAGTATAGTACAGTTCAGTTCAGTATAGTACAGTACAGTACAGTATAGTACAGTACAGTATAGTATGGTACGGTACAGTACAGTGAGACATCACTTACAGTTGTGGAGTGGCTCATCTTGTCAAAGCGGAACTTCAAGTTTGACCTGGGAGACATCTTACTCTTTACATCTGGAGGAGAATAAGAGAAAGCCTCTGTTAACAGAGGAATACATACTATATGATTGAGTGTCAATCACACATTGACGAGGAGAAACAACAAAGTAAGTAACATGTGTGCTTCCTGATAGTTAGAGTAAAGAATGTCAACAAACCCACCATTGTAATCTACAGTGTAAGAGATACAGAGGGCATAGAGACCTACAGTTGAAGTCGGAAGTTTACATACACCTTAGCCTAATACATTTAAACTCAGTTGTTCACAATTCCTGACATTTAATCCTAGTAGAAATTCCCTGTCTTAGTTCAGTTAGGATCACCACTTTATTTTAAGAATGTGAAATGTCAGAATAATAGTAGAGAGAATTATTTATTTCAGCTTTTATTTCTTTCATCACATTCCCAGTGGGTCAGAAGTTTACATACACTCAATTAGTATTTGCCTTTAAATTGTTTCACTTGGGTCAAACGTTTCAGGTAGCCTTCCACAAGCTTCCCCACAATAAGTTGGGTGAATTTTGGCCCATTCCTCCTGACAGAGCTGGTGTAAGTGAGTCAGGTTTGTAGGCCTCCTTGCTCGCACACGCTTTTTCAGTTCTGCCCACAAATGTTCTATAGGATTAAGGTCAGGGCTTTGTGATGGCCACTCCAATACCTTGACTTTGTTGTCCTTAAGCCATTTTGCCACAACTTTGGAAGTATGCTTGGGGTCATTGTCCATTTGGAAGACCCATTTGCGACCAAGCTTTAAATTCCTGACTGATGTCTTGAGATGTTGCTTCAATATATCCACATAATTTTCCTTCCTCATGATGCCATCTATTTTGTGAAGTGCACCAGTCCCTCCTGCAGCAAAGCACCCCCACAGCATGATGCTGCCACCCTGTGCTTCACAGTTGGGATGGTGTTCTTCGGCTTGCAAGAGCCCCCTTTTTCAGGAGGCTGAAGAAACTTGGCCTAGCACCTAAAACCCTCACAAACCTTTACAGATGCACAATTGAGAGCATCCTGTCGGGCTGTATCACCGCCTGGTACGGCAACTGCACCGCCCACAACCACAGGGCTCTCCAGAGGTAATGCGGTCTGCCGAAAGCATTACCGGGGGAAAACTACCCGCCCTCCAAGACACATACAACACCCGATGTCACAGGAAGGCCAAAAAGATCATCAAGGACATCAACCACCCGAGCCACTGTCATGATCGTCATAAGAACCGGACCAAGGCGCAGCGTGATATGCGTACATCTTTTAATGAGTACTTATACACTACAACAAAACAACAAAACGAGTCCTAAGGTTAACAAAACACAAACCTCTCCGGAACAAGATACCACAAATGACAAGTGCAAAACAGGCTGCCTAAGTATGGTTCCCAATCAGAGACAACGAGCCACAGCTGTCTCTAATTGGGAACCACCCTGGCCAACATAGAAATAAACGATCTAGAAAGAAACACATAGAAAACAAAACATAGACACTACACACCCTGGCTCAACATTTAAGAGTCCCCAGAGCCAGGGCGTGACAGTACCCACCCCCCAAAGGCGCGGACTGTGACCGCGCCACACAAACTCAAGAGGGTAGGGGCTGGGTGGGCATTCCACCTCGGAGGCGGATCCGGCTCCGGGCGTGACCACCACTCTCTCGCTACCCCCCCGTAGCGCCCCTGGTCTGGTCTGGCCCCGCTGGCCGGAGCTGGACTGGACACCGGTGGAGCGGATTGCTCAGGCTCCGGTGTGGAGCAGCTGACAGGCACGGGCTGTGCCGGACTGACGACGCGCACCACTGGCTTGGTGCGGGGAGCAGGAACAGGCCGGACCGGACTGGCGACGCGCACCACTGGCTTGGTGCGGGGAGCAGGAACAGGCCGGACCGGACTGGGAACACGCACCACTAACTTAGTGCGGGGAGCAGGAACGGGTTGGGCCGTACTGGGAACACGCACCACTAACTTAGTGCGGGGAGCAGGAACGGGTTGGGCCGTACTGGGAACACGCACCACTAACTTAGTGCGGGGAGCAGGAGCGGGCCTGACCGTACTGGGAACACACACCACTGGCCTTGTGCGGGAATCAGGAACGGGCCGGACCGGACTGGTAACACACACCACTTGCTTGGTGCGAGGAGCGGGACTGGGTTTCCTCATAAACCTCCGCTCCCTCTGCTGCCTACTCAGTTCCTCTCGCCGTGCCTCCACACTCTCCTTCTCCCTCATGACCAATGGCCCCCGTAACCTGGTGGCCTCCTCTCCTAGTCCACAAACTCGCCCTGTAGCTGCCTCCAGCAGCCCCGTCGTCCATGCCGTGTGCCCCCCCCAAAAAAATTATTGGGGTTGCCTCTCGCCTGTCCGACGACGGCCCGGTTGGCGCCGCTTCTCCTCTCCTGCCTGGGCATCCTCCCTCATCGCCCTCCGGTAGCGGACTGCCTCCTCCTCGGTGATCTTCCCCCAACCGTGGAGGACATCCACTAACGTTACCTCCGGCGTTTGCTCCTGGACACGCTGCTTGGTCCATATTTGGTGGGATCTTCTGTCACGATCATCATAAGAACCGGACCAAGGCGCAGCGTGATATGCATACATCTTTTAATGAGTACTTATACACTACAACAAAACAACAAAACGATACGTGAAGTCCTAACGTTAACAAAACACAAACCTCTCCGGAACAAGATGGGGCGGCAGGTAGCTTAGTGGGTAAGAGCGTTGTGCCAGTAACCGATAGGTCGCTGGTTCTAATCCCCGAGCCGACTAGGTGAAAAATCTGTCGATGTGCCCCTGAGCAAGGCACTTAACCCTAATTGCTCCTGTAAGTCGCTCTGGATAAGAGCGTCTGCTAAATGACTAAAATGTAAATGTAAGATACCACAAATGACAAGTGCAAAACAGGCTGCCTAAGTATGGTTCCCAATCAGAGACAACGAGCCACAGCTGTCTCTAATTGGGAACCACCCTGGCCAACATAGAAATAAACGATCTAGAAAGAAACACATAGAAAACAAAACATAGACACTACACACCCTGGCTCAACATTTAAGAGTCCCCAGAGCCAGGGCGTGACAGCCACTGCCTGTTCACCCCGCTATCATCCAGAAGGTGAGGTCAGTACAGGTGCATCAAAGCTGGGACCGAGAGAATGAAAAACAGCTTCTTTCTCAAGGCCATCAGACTGTTAAACAGCCATCACTAGCATATTAGAGGCTGCTGCTGCCTATTGAAATCACTGGCCACTTTAAGAAATTGAACACTAGTCACTTTAATAATGTTTACATATCTTGCACTACTCATCTCATATGTATATACTGCATTCTATTCTATAATATTCTACTGTATCTTAGTCCATGCCACTCTGTCATTGCTTGTCCATATATGTATATATTCTTAAATCCCATTCCTTACTAGTTTTGTGTGTATTGGGTAATTGTTGTGAAATTGTTAGATATTACTTGTTAGATATTACTGCACTGTCGTAGCTAGAAGCACAAGCATTTCGCTACACTCGCTTTAACATCTGCTAAACACGTGTATGTGACAAATACATTTGATTTGAACAGTTGTATTTTTGTTTCATCAGACCAGAGGACATTTCTCAAAAAAGTACAATCTTTATCCCCATGTGCAGTTGCAAACCGTAGTCTGGCTTTTTTATGGCGGTTTTGGAGCAGTGGCTTCTTCCTTGCGGAGCGGTCTTTCAGGTTATGTCGATATATGACTAATTTTACTGTGGATATAGATACTTTTGTACCTGTTTCCTCCAGCATCTTCACAAGGTCCTTTGCTGTTGTTCTGGGATTGATTTGCACTTTTCGCACCAAAGTACGTTCATCTCTAGGAGACATAAAATGTCTCCTTCCTGAGTGGTATGACGGCTGCGTGGTCCCATGGTGTTTATACTTGCGTACTATTGTTTGTACAGATGAACGTGGTACCTTCAGGCGTTTGGAAATTGTTCCCAAGGATGAACCAGACTTGTGGAGGTCTACAATTTTTTTTCTGAGGTCTTGGCTGATTTCTTTAGATTTTCCCATGATGTCAAGCAAAGAGGCACTGAGTTTGAAGGTAGGCCTTGAAATACATCCACAGGTACACCTCCAATTGAATCAAATGATGTCAATGAGCCGAAGCTTCTAAAGCCATGACATCATTTTCTGGAATTTTCCAAGCTGTTTAAAGGCACAGTCAACTTAGTGTATGTAAACTTCTGACCCACTGGAATTGTGATACAGTGAATTATAAGTGAAATAATCTGTCTGTAAACAATTGTTGGAAAAATTACTTGTGTCATGCACAAAGTAGATGTCCTAACCGACTTGCCAAAACTATAGTTTGTTAACAAGAAATTTGTGGAGTGGTTGAAAAACGAGTTTTAATGACTCCAACCGAAGTGTATGTAAACTTCCGACTTCAACTGTAAGTGTAGTGTATCAGTGTTGGGTGTTTACCTGTGGGACTGCGACACATGATGAGGGGGGTGGCCGAGCCTTGGCTCTCCACGCTGAGGGAAGGGTAGGGGCTGAACACGGACGAGGAGGCTATGGACGGGTGGATTCCCTGGGAGACGAAGAGGAGGAGGAGGAAGAGGAAGAGGGAAGGATAATAATAATATGCCATTTAGCAGACGCTTTTATCCAAAGCGACTTACAGTCATGCATGCATACATTTTTTGTGTATGGGTGGTCCCGGGGATCGAACCCACTACCTTGGCGTTACAAGCGCCGTGCTCTACCAGCTGAGCTACAGAGGACCACAAGGATGAAGAGGAGGGAGAAGAGGAAGAGGAGGAGGAGCAGGTCAGGGCTAGGGTAGTCATCAATTTTTATCATTCTACTGTCACACACACTACAGACTACGGCTACTAACTCAAGGCTTCAGCTAGAATTATTACAGATGGTCGGTTTTCAGCACTGTGCTGCCGTTGTGCTCTTGAGCAAGGAACTTAACCCCCAAACTGCTCCAGAGGGGCACACACATTCCAGCCTTAGGTTAACTGAGTTCTGTTCAACAGCAAAACGGTAAACTGAGCTGTGAAACTGTTGAACAACATTTAATTTTTTTAATGTAAACACTGATGTGTGTAATGTGTAATGTGTGTATGATACAATAATTCTCATCCTTTGCCAAGCGTGCGTGATTGACATCCAACACAATATGATCCAAAGAGAGTGACAGAAACCATAATTGACTTAATCACCAGTTGTCATGATATTGCATCATCTCTATTTATTCTCTCAGTACTGCCAAATCATTTCAAATCATTCCAAATGTGTAATTTGTTGATGCCTTCATGCAGTTAATGATAAAACAAACATGGTCCTTATACAGTTAATCATTTTGGATCCCACAACTTCTGAGCACCACAGGCCTATGGTCTGCCCAATTATGTGCCAGAAGCACCCTGCCAGTCCTGATCCAAATGCTTTGGCCCACCCAAGCCCACCTCAACACACCCCACTCCCCTACCCCTCTGTTCTACAGCCACCTGTCCCACTGCCTCCCTACTCCCTATCCCCCAACCCTCTGTCCATCCTCCATATGCCACCAGCACAATGCCTCCAGGGCCTCCCCCTCCCCAGCCCCCTATCTCCCCAGTGCTGCGGGCCCTCACAGTGTCAAGCTCTTCCAGGGCCTCTCCCTCCCCGGTGGTGCTGCTGAAGCTGCTGGTACTGGAGGATGAGCGGGAGATGTTGGGTCTGCTGCTGCAGTCCTTCAGCTTGAGGAACGGCCTGGTGACAGGAGGGAGAGGAACAGCATTAGAGGAGAGGAGAAGAAAAGAGGGGAGGAGAGGTTTACAAAGCATATGCACACATTTTTACATTTACATTTTAGCAGACGCTCTTATCCAGAGCAACTTACAGTTAGTGAATACATATCTTTTTATACTGGCCCCCCGTGGGAATCGAACCCACAACCCTGGCGTTGCAAACGCCATGCTCTATCAACTGAGCTACATCCCTGCCGGCCATTCCCTCCCCTACCCTGGACGACGCTGGGCCAATTGTGCGCCGCCCATGAGTCTCCCGGTCGCGGCCGGCTGCGACAGAGCCTGGATTCGAACCAGGATCTCTAGTGGCACAGTTAGCACTGCGATGCAGTGCCTCAGACCACTGCGCCACTCAGGAGTTCACACGTCATGCACACCATGTGTGTTCATGTTCAGTATTTTGTGTGTAGTTCATCTCACCTCTCCTTGTTGGGGCAGATCTCTGGCGAGCTGGGGTTGGACGACGTCTCTGATCTCCCTTCCTGGCCGAGCGGGCAGATGTCTGGGGTCTTTTGGTCACTACAACAACATACAGACCAAGTTAGCAGATAGAACAAATGCACAATGACATAACACAAGCTTTAGTATTATGAACTGAATGCACAGTCTGGTCCCAGATCTGTTTGTGATGTCTTGCCAACTCCTATGGTCATTAACAAAACAGCACAAACAGATCTGGGACCAGGCTATGGAAAGCCTGCTGACCTGCGTGTGTGTCTGTCCGAGGGGCTCTCTGTGCTGGAGTGGAGGCGAGGGAAGAGGCCTGATCGACGCTTCACTGGACTCTTTAGGGGAGACTTGGCTGACAGCACTGGTGGCTGGAGAGAGAGACACACAGTCAATACCATTAACAAGCAGGCAATACACAGCATTAGGAGGCTGATAGAGCTCAATTAAGGCATATTTTGGCTACATTCTGATGGACCACTACCCTTCACATATAAAACAGTTGAAATTACATCAGTGCTCCTCCCCCTCCACCCTCTCCCCCCTGCTCACCGTGAAGGTACTCTTTGTGCACTCGGTGCTCTGTGGCATCCCCCCTCCACTCAAGCTGGCCGGGAACCCCCCTCCCACCCCTGGACTCCGGTGACGGTGTGACCCCACCATGGTCTCCATGGAGTGACTGCGGACGCGCATCGCACGCTAGGGGACAGGGACAGAGGAGAGAGTGGGTTAAAAGGGAGCGGTGTGGAGTGCGAGAGAAAAGAGGACAGTCATTGTCTCAGCACACAGTTGAGACAAGCACAGTGCCCCTGGATGGAGAGCATGTTGTGGGGTAAAGGGGTCTTGCTTAAGGGCCCAACTGTAGGGGAACGTCTTTAGGATGTGAACCCAGCAGCCCTCCAGTTGCCAGATCAATTCACCCCATTTTTTCCAGCGCCTGGCTCGGGATTCGAACCGGTCCAACTCCTAAGCCACTGGGCTACATACCGCATCCTGCAACTATACTCATTACTGTGTACTCATCAATTTCCAAAGCTCTTTGAGTGTGGTGTGTATTAAACTCTCGTGGACAGACTATGTAAACATCGAGCATATGACCAAATTACGCAAGATTCGGTGTGTTTTATAGATGATTTTATTGTATTCTATTTATAATGTGGTTGGGTAAAATGAATGTCTCTGATATTGATCAAATTAGATATGTTCATGGGAAAGATCAAACCTGCTATTACGATATACTGTCAGCAGAGAGTGCACTTCTCCTACACAGAGAAATAAGGAGTGCAGTGCATGGATACTGAGAGATATGACTGTAATATTACCAGTGTTGGGGAATAGTGAACTACATTTTGCAGTAGCTTGGTGGTAGTTGAACTAAACTCTGATCTAGGTAATGTTTTCAGTAGTGTTTTACGTGAGGAAATACACACTATTTTTTTTGCAAAAAGAAAAGAAAATATGGGTGAAGTAGAAAATAATTTCCTTTCTTTTTCGGCATCAGACCTGCCTAATTCTCAGTTGAAACGTGTTTAATAGGCTAAATTACACATTCTGTTAACATCTGACTCCAGAGTGATCAATTTGTAGTCTATGACATTTCAGATTTAGCTATGATAATGTATCACAAAGTAGTTTGGATGTATTGAACTACTTTTTAAAGTAACTTTAGTTAAGTAAACTAGAACTTTCGTAACATTATCTTTAGTGTAGCTTAACTTCTTCCAATGTGAAGTAATTGTTAGCTTGGTACACTATATTTTCAGAGTAGCTTCCCCAACACTGAATATTACTGATAATGATGCACTGTGTACTAGGCTACTATTTTAGTTCACTTAAATTGTAAAGAAAATCATAAGAAGCCTTATGATAACATGTCATCACTAGTAGGTTAGACTAAGGGAGACACAGACCGTGTGTTTCAACGTTAGTCTCGAGGGCATAAAACACAACAAACAAAACCACATGAACCGTGTTTATTGAGTGTTTCAATGTTTGGAGATGCTTTCAATATGGGATATGCTTTGTTCTGATTCTCAATCAGTATAATAAAGTATCTGCGACGACAGGTAATAAACAGTGACTGCTGTTGGAGCGATGAGCACAGCACCCCCAGTGGTTGAATGAGTGGCATGCAACACACACCTCCACACTGCCTGTGAAAAGACAATGAGACACCATAAGGTCAGACAGGGAGAGAGGGAGAGAGAGATGGAGAGAGACGGGTAAGGTGGTACAATAATCTCAATCAACAGCAGCGTGGTTGGAGGGAGGGAAAGAGAGAGAGAGAGAGAGAGAGAGAGAGAGAGAGAGAGAGAGAGAGGAGAGAGAGAGAGACATAGAGAGAAGAGAGAGAGGAGAGGACATAGAGAGAGAGAGAGAGAGCGAGAGAGAGAGAGAGAGCAGAGAGAGACACAAGAGAGAGAGAGAGGAGAGAGAGAGAGAGAGAGACACAAGAGACACGAGAGCAGAGAACAGAGAGAGAGACACACAAGAGAGAGAGAGAGACAACAGAGAGAGTGAGAGGACACAGAGAGGACACAGAGAGAGAGAGAGAGGAGAGTGAGAGAGAGCAGAGAGAGAGAGAGAGAGAGAGAGAGAGAGAGAGAGAGAGAGAGAGAGAGATACAACATCAGTAGACAACTAGATAGGTGAAAGAGATTGTGTGGGACAGGTTCAGACAGGTTCAGACATGGCCTCAGATGATGAGGTGAAAAACGGTGTTAAAGAGTCACCTTGAAGGACTCCAGCAGTCCCCCATGGCCCTCATTCTCCAGCTTGTCCTCCTCCCCAGCCTGGCTTAGCCCCAGAGTAACCTGGGTCTGTCTGTGGAGCTCATCGTGAAGGTTATCCAGCAGCGCAGCTCGCGTCCGCCCCTAGACACACGCACGCACAGACACATGCACACACAGATCCATAGAGACACACACAGACGTATACAGATGCACAGAAGCAAACACACACACACAAAAAACAACACCACCATGTATCATTTAAGAAGCAGTAGTGGAGTTGACTGAGATAGATGAAAGAGATTGAACAACACATCCAGGGTGTCTCGAGTCATCTGCCCCTCTCACCTCTAGCTTGGCAAACTTGTCAGACTTGTAGCAGGCATTCTCCGCATTGATCAGCTTTGTCAGCAGGAAGTCGCGAAACTCAGGACCCTGGGGAGAGAGGAGAGGGGGAAGGAGAGGGGGAAGGAGGAGAGGTGACTTTCATCAGCACCATACTCATCATCATCTGGTCGTCTGGAGTAGATGGGATGAAAAGGACTGATACAGTGCCTTCAGAAGGTATTCACACCCCTTGACTCTTTCCACATTTTGTTGTGTTACAGCCTGAATTAAAAATGGATTAAATTGAGATTTTGTGTCACTGGCCTACACACAAAATACCCCATAATGTCAAAATGGAATTATGTTTTTAGAATTAATTTCAAAATGAAAAGCTGAAATGTCTTGAGTTAATAAGTATTCAACCCCTTTGTTATGGCAAGTCTAAATAAGTTCAGGAGTAAAAATGTGCTTAACAAGTCACATAGTAAGTTGCATGGACTCACTCTGTGTGCAATAATAGTGTTTAACATGATTTTTGAATGACTACCTCATCTCTGTACCCCACACATACAATTATCTGTAAGGTCCCTCAGTCGAGCAGTCAATTTCAAACACAGATTCAACCACAAAGACCAGGGAGGTTTTTGAATTCCTCGCAAAGAAGGGCACCTATTGGTAGATGGGTAAAAAAAAAAGCAGACATTGAATATCCGTTTGAGGATGGTGAAGTTATTAATTACACTTTTGATGGTGTATCAATATACCTAGTCAGTACAAAGATACAAGTGTCCTTCCCAACTCAGTTGCCGGAGAGGAAGGAAACCGCTCAATGATTTCACCATGAGGCCAATGGTGACTTTAAAACAGTTACAGAGTTTAATGGCTGTGATAGGAGAAAAGGATGTTAACAACATTGTAGTTACTCCACAATACTAAGGAAGCCTGTACAGAATAGAAATATTCCAAAACATGCATCCTGTTTGCAACAAGGCACTAAAGTAAAACTGCAACAAATGTGGCAAAGCAATTCACTTTTTGTTCTGAATACAAAGTGTTATGTTTGGGGCAAATCCAACACAACACATCACTGAGTACCACTCTTCATATTTTCAAGCATGGTGGTGGCTGCATCATGTTATGTGTATGATTGTCATCGGCAAGGACTAGGGAGTAAAAACAAAAAAAAATCTGCTTTCCAACAGACACTGGGAAACAAATTGACCTTTTAGCAGGACAATAACCTAAATCACAAGGCAAAATATACACTGGAGTTGCTTACCAAGACGACACTGAATGTTCCTGAGTGGCCTAGTTACAGATTTGACTTAAAACGGTGTGAAAATCTATGGCAAGACTTGAAAATGGCTGTCTAGCAATGATCAACAACCACCTTAACAGAGCTTGAAGAAGAATAATGTGCAAATATTGTACAATCCAGGTGTGCAAAGCCTTTAGAGACTTACCCTGAAAGACTCACAGCTGTAATCGCTGCTAAAGGTGATTCTAACATGTATTGACTCAGGGGTGTGAATACTTATGTAAATGAGATATTTCTGTATTTCATTTTCAATACATTTGCAAAAAAAATAAAACATGTTTTCACTTTGTCATGGGGTATTGTTTGAAGATAGATGGGTGTGAAAAAATATAATTGTATCCATTTTTAATTCAGGCTGTAACACAACAACATGTGGAATAAAGCAAGCAGTATGAATACTTAATGAATAAACTGTATGATGGCAGGTTTATCATCAAACTTCATCATCACTGTAAATAACTGTGGGAAACTTTAACTCTCCCTCCATCTCTCACTCTCTATGTATCCTTATCCCTCTCCTTCCATCTCTCTCTCTTTCTCTCTCTCTCTGTAATTCTCTCTCTCTTACTTACCTTCTTGAAGACCGCTGGATTGGGGAGAGGTGGACCAAACGGAGGTACATCCTCCCTTGCTGTAACAGACACCTGCCGACACAAAGCAATTAATGTCACCATTTACTGTGTATAGTCTGGCTTATGTCATTCTAACAGTATTTCTTCCGTCCCTCTCCTCGCCCCAACCTGGGCTAGAACCAGGGACCCTCTGCACACATCGACAACGGTGACCCTCGATGCATCGTTACCTATCGCTCCACAAAAACAGCGGTCCTTGCAGAGCAAGGCAAACAACTACTTCAAGGTCTCAGAGCGAGTGACGTCACCGATTGAAACGCTACTAGCGCGCACCGCTAACTAGCTAGCCATTTCACAAAGGTTACATAATATCCATGCCTTAAAGGCCCACTCCGTAATAAATAAATAAAAACGGCTTTGCAAATATCACATGGTGAGCCTGTTAGGTTCATAGTAGGCTATAGTACTGACCTTGTATGTAGTGTGTTCAGTACCAGGGCTCTCCACCTGCACCAGCACATACGCATGGAGGAAGTTGGAAGCGATCATGTCAGGCACAAAGGGCGTGGCGTCTTCCTGGAAGACCGCCGCCACGATGTCATTTCCTATGTGCCTCTTCCTCTGGAGCTGAGGGACAAGAGCATAGTGTTTTGTAAACACCTTAGGACTGTTTTGACTGTATGTTATTCAGTATAATTAATCACAATTATTGGAGACAAAATGTACAGGAATGGTGTGGGGTGAGAGGGATGAGGAAACAGAGTGTGTTTATGAGTGACACACACACACACACACAAAACACATACTGTAACCACTGTTATTATGTTGTGTGTGGTGTAGCTTGTTCAGTACCTGTTGTACATCTCCCTCAGTGAAGGGTAGTTTAGTGGAGACGTGGAACATCATCTCTCTCTGTCTGAAGACGGTGTAGATGGACTCAGAGCCTGTCTGACCATGAGATACATCCAGACCACCACGGAACCTAGGAGCACAGTGACAACATAATATGATTATCATTACCATGACTTTAAATTATTGGGAAGGGCCAGGAGCATTTCCTGATCACGTGACAGGGAAAACTGCTGGCCCTACTCATGATGAATGGTAGCATGGTAGCAGTATATATAGTGTCAAACTCCTGCATTTCTCTCTTTCTCTCCCTCCTTCCTTACCTCCCTCCATTCTCCCTCTCTCTCTGCATGAACTATCTCTCTCTCCCATTCCCCCATCTCTCTACCTCTCCCTCCCTCCCGCTCTCCCTCCCTCTACCCCCCCTCACTCTCTCTGTCCCTCTCAGTAGTAGAGTAGTTCTCTCTCTCTCTCTCTCTCTCTCTCTCTCTCTCTCTCTCTCTCTCTCTCTCTCTCTCTCTCTCTCTCTCTCTCTCTCTCTCTCTCTCTCAATTAAATTAAATTAAATTTGATTTATTGGCATGACGTAACAATGAACATATTGCCAAAGCTTACTTTGGATATTTACACTATTAACATAATTAAAATAATCATCATCAATATTGTCAACGGGACAACAGTAACAACAATAACCAAGGATCAAAATAACCATTGAACAATAACAATATAGAGGACATGTGCAGGTTGGTTGGTCTGTCAGACACTGTCCCTCATCTTATGGCAGGCAGCAATGTAGTGCGCTGCCAACCCACAGCTCTCTGTGTCCTCCCCCAACAGGACGGGTAGCCTATTCTCATCAGAGAGATCTTTGAAACCTTGAAAAACTGTTTCAAATTTGGGGAAATGACACTCTCTAATTGTTTTATATTTTCAACATTTTGTCAGGAAATGCAGCTCTGTCTCAGGTTCTGCTGTGGTGCAGTGGTTGCACAGCCTTTTACAGGGAGCCAGGTTTTCCTGTGTCTACCCTTCTCAATAGCAAGGCTGTGCTCACTGAGCCTGTACTTTGTCAAGGTTTTTCTAAGGTTTTGATCAGTAACCATGGTCAAATAGTTAGCCACGGTGTACTGTCGATTTAGGGCATTGCAGGGCTTGGTAATGATATGAGAGGGGGTCACTGTATTTTAGATGTTTCCAAAACTTAATTGTTATTTTTTGAGTTTGTATTATTAGTGGATATTGGCCTAATTCTGCCCTGCGTGCATTGTTTGTAGTTTTCCTCTGGACATGTAGGAGAATCTTACAGAACTCTGCATGCAGGGTTTTAATGGGGTGTTTGTCCCATTTGGTGAAATCTTGTTTTGCAAGTGGACCCCACACCTCGCTGCCATAAAGTGCAATTGGTTCAATGACACATTCAATTAGTTTTAGCTTAAAAGCTTAAAGGTATTTCAATTTGAATTTGTTTTTTAATGGCATAGAATGCCCTCCGTGCTTTCTCTCTCAGTTCATTCACTGCATCATTAAGGTGTCCAGTTGAACTTATTTTTTAAAACTAAGTAATTGTAGTGTGTGCAGTAAACTTTGGTCTAATTCCCTGAGATCTTCTCTGGAAAATCATTATTTTAGTATTTTTGGGGTTTACTGCCAGGGCCCAGGTCTGGCAGTACTGCTCTAGCAGGTCCAGGCTCTGCTGTAGGCCATGTGCTGTGGGTGACAGCAGGCATAGGTCATCTGCGAAGAATTCCAGGGGCTGGGGATTTTTCTAGAATAGTGGCCAATTCGTTGATGTAAATATTGAAGAGTGCAGGGCTCAGATTGCAACCCTGGCGAAGGCCCTGCCCCTGGTTAAAGAATTATGTTCTTCTCTTGCCAATTTTGATGCTCCACGTATTGCCAGTATACATTGATTTAATTATGTCATATGTTTTACCCCCTACACCACTTTCAATAACTTTGTAAAACAGTCCTGTATGCCAAATAGAATCAAAAGCTTTTTGGAAGTCGATAAAAGCAAGCGTACATTTTGGAATTATTTTGGTGGACATGTTTATCTATCAGGGTGTGTAGGGTGTAAATATGTTTTGTAATAAATCATCCCCACGTTTACTGTTCACACAAACCCCTCTGTAATTGTTAGGGTCAAATGTGTCTCCCCTCCAGGTAGTAGAAATCTCTCTTCTCTCTCTAGGGGTCGATCGCTCTCTATACTCTCTCTCTGCTCTCTCTTCTCTCTCTCCTCTCTCTCTCTCTATCGCTTCTCCTCTCTTCTCTCTCTTCTCTCTCTTTCTCTCTCTCTCATCTCTCTCCTCTCTCTCTTCTCTCTCCTCCAATTCAATTCAATTCACTTCAATTTAATTTCCAATTTCAAATTTAAGGGCTTTATTGGCATGGGAAAAACGTGTGCTTGTTGTTACATTGCCCAAAGCAAGTGAAGTAGATAGTAAACAAAAGTGAAATAAACAATAAATATTAACAGTAAACATTACACTCAGAAGTTTCAAAAGAATAAAGACATTTCAAATGTCATATTATGTATATATACAGTGTTGTAACAATGTGCAAATAGTTAAAGTACAAATGGGAAAATAAATAAACATAAATATGGGTTGTATTTACAATGGTGTTTGTTCTTCACTGGTTGCCCTTTTCTTGTGGCAACAGGTCACAAATCTTGCAGCTGTGATGGCACATTGTGGTTTTTCACCCAGTAGATAAGGGAGTTTATCAAAATTGGGTTTGTTTTCGAATTCTTTGTGGATCGCTGTAATCTGAGGGAAATATGTGTCTCTAATATGGTCATACATTTGGCAGGAGGTTAGGAAGTGCAGCTCAGTTTCCACCTCATTTTGTGGGCAGTGTGCACATAACCTGTCTTCTCTTGAGAGCCAGGTCTGCCTACGGCGGCCTTTCTCAATAGCAAGGCTATGCTCACTGAGTCTGTACATAGTCAAAGCTTTCCTTAAGTTTGGGTCAGTCACAGTGTTCAGGTATTCTGCCACTGTGTACTCTCTGTTTAGGGCCAAATAGCATTCTAGTTTGCTCTGTTTTTTTGTTTGTTCTTTCCAATGTGTCAAGTAATTCTCTTTTTGTTTTCTCATGATTTGGTTGGGTCTAGTTGTGTTGTTGTTGTTGTTGTCCTGGGGCTGTGTGGGGTCTGTTTGTGTTTGTGAACAGAGCCCCAGGACAAGCTTACTTAGGGGACACTTCTCCAAGTTCATCTCTCTGTAGGTGATGGCTTTGTTATGGAAGGTTTGGGAATCGCTTCCTTTTAAGTGGTTATAGAATTTAACGGCTCTTTTCTGGATTTTGATAATTAGCGGGTATTGGCCTAATTCTGGTCTGCATGCATTATTTGGTGTTTTACGTTGTACACGGAGGATGTTTTTGCAGAATTCTGCATGCAGAGTCTCAATTTGGTGTTTGTCCCATTTTGTGAATTCTTGGTTGGTGAGCGGACCCCAGACCTCAGAACCATAAAGGGCAATGGGTTCTATAACTGATTCAAGTATTTTTAGCCAGATCCTAATTGGTATGTCAAATTTTATGTTCCTTTTGATGGCATAGAAGGCCCTTCTTGCCTTGTCTCTCAGATCGTTCACATCTTTGTGGAAGTTACCTGTGGCGCTGATGTTTAGGCCGAGGTATGTATAGTTTTTTGTGTGCTCTAGGGCAACGGTGTCTAGATGGAATTTGTATTTGTGGTCCTGGCAACTGGACCTTTTTTGGAACACCATTATTTTTGTCTTACTGAGATTTACTGTCAGGGCCCAGGTCTGACAGAATCTGTGCAGAAGATCTAGGTGCTGCTGTAGGCCCTCCTTGGTTGGTGACAGAAGCACCAGATCATCAACAAACAGAAGACATTTGACTTCAGATTCCAGTAGGGTGAGGCCGGGTGCTGCAGACTGTTCTAGTGCCCTCGCCAATTCGTTGATAGATATGTTGAAGAGGTTGGGGCTTAAACTGCATCCCTGTCTCACCCCACGGCCCTGTGGAAAGAAATGTGTGTGTTTTTGGCCAATTTTAACCGCACACTTGTTGTTTGTGTACATGGATTTTATAATGTCGTATGTTTTTCCCCCAACCCCACTTTCCATCAATTTGTATAGCAGACCCTCATGCCAAATTGAGTCAAAAGCTTTTTTTGAAATCAACAAAGCATGAGAAGACTTTGCCTTTGTTTTGGTTTGTTTGTTTGTCAATTAGGGTGTGCAGGGTGAATACGTGGTCTGTCGTACGGTAATTTGGTAAAAAGCCAATTTGACATTTGCTCAGTACATTGTTTTCACTGAGGAAATGAACTAGTCTGCTGTTAATGATAATGCAGAGGATTTTCCCAAGGTTGCTGTTGACGCATATCCCACGGTAGTTATTGGGGTCAAATTTGTCTCCACTTTTGTGGATTGGGGTGATCAGTCCTTGGTTCCAAATATTGGGGAAGATGCCAGAGCTAAGTATGATGTTAAAGAGTTTAAGTATAGCTAATTGAAATTTGTGGTCTGTATATTTTATCATTTCATTGAGGATACCATCAACACCACAGGACTTTTTGGGTTGGAGGGTTTGTATTTTGTCCTGTAGTTCATTCAATGCAATTGGAGAATCCAGTGGGTTCTGGTAGTCTTTAATAGTTGATTCTAAGATTTGCATTTGATCATGTATATTTTTTTGCTGTTTGTTCTCTGTTATAGGGCCAAAAAGATTGGAGAAGTGGTTTACCCATACATCTCTGTTTTGGATAGATAGCTCTTCGTGTTGTTGTTTGTTTAGTGTTTTCCAATTTTCCCAGAAGTGGTTAGAGTCTATGGATTCTCCAATTACATTGAGCTGATTTCTGACATGCTGTTCCTTCTTTTTCCGTAGTGTATTTCTGTATTGTTTTAGTGATTCACCATAGTGAAGGCGTAGGCTCAGGTTTTCTGGGTCTCTATGTTTTTGGTTGGATAGGTTTCTCAATTTCTTTCTTAGGTTTTTGCATTCTTCAGCAAACCATTTATCACTGTTATTACTTTTCTTTGGTTTTCTGTTAGAGATTTTTAGATTTGATAGGGAAGCTGAGAGGTCAAATATACTGTTTAGGTTTTCTACTGCCAAGTTTACACCTTCACTATTACAGTGGAACATTTTGTCCAGGAAGTTGTCTAGAATGGATTGAATTTGTTGTTTCCTAATTGTTTTTTGGTAGGTTTCAACACTACTTTCCTTCCATCTATAGCATTTCTTAATATTATTCAGTTCCTTTGGCTTTGATGCCTCATGATTGAGTATTGCTCTGTTCAAGTAGACTGTGATTTTGCTGTGGTCTGATATGGGTGTCAGTGGGCTGACTGTGAAACGCTCTGAGAGACTCTGGGTTGAGGTCAGTGATAAAGTTAGTCTACAGTACTACTGCCAAGAGATTGAGACTAGTAGGTTGAAAGGAACCTCCATAGGAGTCCCCCTCGAACGCCTACCATTGGACTATGTCATACCCAGTGGTGCGACAGAGACTGCAGGAGTCGTTGACCCGTTTTTTGGTGGTTATGTTGTCCGTAGTTGATGCCTAGGGGTGCCATATGGGGCTCTCTCTCTCTCGCTCTCTCTCTCTCTATCTCTCTCTCCTCTCTCTCTCTCCTCTCCTGCTGTCTCATGTCTCTGTCTCTCTGGTCTCTCTCTCTTCTCTCTCTCTCTTTTCTCTCTCTCTCTCATCTCCTGCTACTCTTCAGCTCTGCTCTCTAGTCTCTCTCTATCTCGGTCTATCTCGAATCTCTCTCTCTCTCTCATTCTCTCTCTCTCTCTCTCTATCTCTCTTCTCTCTCTCTCTCTCTCTCTCTAGTAGAGTCGTAGTAGAGTTGTATCTATGTCTCTCACCCCTTAAAGTCATTCAGCTCTATGTTGTCTCCCAGAACACTGAGGAACTCTCGGAAGGCTGGCGTCTCCTCGTTGTTCCCAAACAACTCCTCCTCTGTCGTCTGGGATGGAGCGATTAGAGGAGAGGAGACAGAGATGAAGGGAGAAGATTAAAATGGAGATGTTAATGTATGGGGTTCCATACACAATGCAAGTTACAGGGCAAAAATAAATGGCATGGGATTGATAAGGAATAAACGGAAACACCATTTGGCAATAAAAACCTGCATATCACACTCACCTGACCAAACTTCTGGTAGATGACACCAAACTTAAAGGTGTTGTTCACTTCATGTTCGTCATAACCTATTATCAGCTGAGAGCCCTGAAACCAAAACAAAAAAATGATAAGGATGTGTGCATACATATAAAATCCAGTTATGTGATAAAGTCACTCCATAACTCGGGCAGACATTTACACTATATATACAAATGTATGTGGACACCCCTTCAAATTAGTGGATTCAACTATTTCAGCCACACCTGTTGCTGACAGGTGCATAAAATCGAGCACACAGCCATGCAATCTCTATAGACAAACATTGGCAGTAGAATGGCCTTACTGAAGCGCTCAGTGACTTTCAAAGTGGCACCGTCTTAGGATGCTACCTTTCCAACAAGTCTGCTCGTCAAATTTCTGCCCTGCTAGAGCTGCCCCGGTCAATTGTAAATGCTGTTATTGTGAAGTGGAAACGTCTAGGAGCAACAACGGCTCAGCTGCGAAGTGGTAGACCACACAAGCTCACAGAACGGGACCGCCGAGTGCTGAAGCGTGTAGCGTGTAAAAATCGTCTGTCCTCAGTTGCAACACTTACTACCGAGTTCCAAACTGCCCCTGGAAGCAACGTCAGCACAATAACTGTTCTTCAGGAGCTTCATGAAATGGGCTTCCATGGATGAGCAGCCACACACAAGCCTAAGATCCCCATGAGCAATGCCAAGCGTCTGCTATACTGGTGTAAAGCTCGACGCCATTGGACTCTGGAGCAGTGGAAATGCATTCTCTGAAGTGATGAATCACGCTTCACCATTTGGAAGTTCGAATCTGAGTTTGGCGGATGCCAGGAGAATGCTACCTGCCCGAATGCATAGTGCCAACTGCAAAGTTTGGTGGAGGAGGAATAATGGTCTGGGGAAGGCCCTTTCCTGTTTCAGTATGACAATGCACCTGTGCACAAAGCGAGATCCATACAGAAATGGTTTGTCGAAATCGGTGTGGAAGAACTTGACTGGCCTGCACAAAGCCCTGACCTCAACCCCATCGAACACCTTTGGTATGAATTGGAACGCCGACTGCGAGCCAGGCCTAATCGCCCAACATCAGTGCCCGACCTCACTAATGCTCTTGTGGCTGAATGGAAGCAAGTCCCCGCAGCAATGTTCCAACATCTTGGGGAAAGCCTTCCCAGAAGAGAGGAGATTGTTATAGCAGCAAAGGGGGGGCCACTCCAAAATAATGCCCATGACGAGCAGGTGTCCACATACTTTTGGTAATGTAGTGTATGTCTATCACGTCTGTGGAGGTCAGGGTTGTATTCAATAGGCACCAAATGGAAAGAAACTGACTAAAACAGGAAGGGACTACTTGGACTTGTCCAATAAGAAATGCTCATTTCTGTTTTCAGCTGCAAAATGTTTTCCGTTGCATGCCCTAATGAATACGACCCAGGACCACTGTGGGTTGATTGTGGCCATTTTGAAAGGCAGTCAGCTGTGACCAGTGGGGGATGGGAGAGGGGGGGGGGGGGGGGGGGGGGGGGGGGGGAGCAGTCTGAGCCGACTGTCATAATAACAGATCAGTTCTACAGGACCCGGAGCAGAGGCACAACAAGCAGCTCCATCATCCTTATGACCTCTGATGTGATGAACAGAACTAGCTGTCACATATACAGTGGGGAAAAAAAGTATTTAGTCAGCCACCAATTGTGCAAGTTCTCCCACTTAAAAAGATGAGAGAGGCCTGTAATTTTCATCATAGGTACACGTCAACTATGACAGACAAATTGAGGGAAAAAAATCCAGAAAATCACATTGTAGGATTTTTTATGAATTTATTTGCAAATTATGGTGGAAAATAAGTATTTGGTCACCTACAAACAAACAAGATTTCTGGCTCTCACAGACCTGTAACTTCTTATTTAAGAGGCTCCTCTGTCCTCCACTCGTTACCTGTATTAATGGCACCTGTTTGAACTTGTTATCAGTATAAAAGACACCTGTCCACAACCTCAAACAGTCACACTCCAAACTCCACTATGGCCAAGACCAAAGAGCTGTCAAAGGACACCAGAAACAAAATTGTAGACCTGCACCAGGCTGGGAAGACTGAATCTGCAATAGGTAAGCAGCTTGGTTTGAAGAAATCAACTGTGGGAGCAATTATTAGGAAATGGAAGACATACAAGACCACTGATAATCTCCCTCGATCTGGGGCTCCACGCAAGATCTCACCCTGTGGGGTCAAAATGATCACAAGAACGGTGAGCAAAAATCCCAGAACCACACAGGGGGACCTAGTGAATGACCTGCAGAGAGCTGGGACCAAAGTAACAAAGCCTACCATCAGTAACACACTACGCCGCCAGGGACTCAAATCCTGCAGTGCCAGACGTGTCCCCCTGCTTAAGCCAGTACATGTCCAGGCCCGTCTGAAGTTTGCTAGAGTGCATTTGGATGATCCAGAAGAGGATTGGGAGAATGTCATATGGTCAGATGAAACCAAAATATAACTTTTTGGTAAAAACTCAACTCGTCGTGTTTGGAGGACAAAGAATGCTGAGTTGCATCCAAAGAACACCATACCTACTGTGAAGCATGGGGGTGGAAACATCATGCTTTGGGGCTGTTTTTCTGCAAAGGGTCCAGGACGACTGATCCGTGTAAAGGAAAGAATGAATGGGGCCATGTATCGTGAGATTTTGAGTGAAAACCTCCTTCCATCAGCAAGGGCATTGAAGATGAAACGTGGCTGGGTCTTTCAGCATGACAATGATCCCAAACACACCGCCCGGGCAACGAAGGAGTGGCTTCATAAGAAGCATTTCAAGGTCCTGGAGTGGCCTAGCCAGTCTCCAGATCTCAACCCTATAGAAAATCTTTGGAGGGAGTTGAAAGTCCGTGTTGCCCAGCGACAGCCCCAAAACATCACTGCTCTAGAGGAGATCTGCATGGAGGAATGGGCCAAAATACCAGCAACAGTGTGTGAAAACCTTGTGAAGACTTACAGAAAACGTTTGACCTGTGTCACTGCCAACAAATGGTATATAACAAAGTATTGAGAAACTTTTGTTATTGACCAAATACTTATTTTCCACCATAATTTGCAAATAAATTCATTAAAAATCCTACAATGTGATTTTCTGGATTTTTTCCCCTCATTTTGTCTGTCATAGTTGACGTGTACCTATGATGAAAATTACAGGCCTCTCTCATCTTTTTAAGTGGGAGAACTTGCACAATTGGTAGCTGACTAAATACTTTTTTTCCCCACTGTATGTCACTCCCTTTGGTTCCTTCCATAGGCGTTATTGATTCTGTTACTCTGTTCCTGTCTGGGCGCTACTCTTGTTTTGTTCCATGTTTTATTTATCATTAAATGCACTCCCTGTACTTGCTTCCCGACTCCCAGCGTACATTGTTACATTAGCACTGCCTACACCACATCAGTAAGACAGAACATGGTGGTACAGGCTGTGTAGTGGACCAGGTGGAAGTTGCAGCAAACGAAAGAAAAGGGACTGAAAAAGGGAGAGACTACCTGGAAATGTCCAATAAGAAACACTTGTGTTCATTGCAAAACGTTTTGAAAAAATTATGCATGCCCCATAGAAATAGAATTGCTAAAAAACTATTTATATTTCTATGGCATGACCTAATGAACGACCCTGGTTCTATGGCTACTGTAGTAGAGGTGGAAGCGCCTGGCTGAAAGGAAACTGTGGAGCAGACTCACTCTGGGGTACAGGACCGGGTTGAACTTCAGGCCAGTCACGTCGTCGCAGAGAAGCTGAAACACAGACAGACAGATACGGATCCATTTGAAATCACAGTGATGGAAACAAATCGATTTTACGTTGAAGGGGCAATCTGGTATTGGTACATCCCTTTATGGACTGTTAAATTAATTATAATATATCAGTGTATAAATGAATCATGAGCTTATTTCAACTGTCTTACCGCATCAGAACCCAAAAGCTTGTTTTACTTCATTGTTTGTAAACAATGTAAATGTAAACAAACGCTATAGTTTCAACTCATGGTTAAAACTATAATTTTGATCTCATGGTCAGTCTATGAATTTGAAAGTGGCGAAATTTCTTCAACCCCACCCTCAGCTGTTTACCAAAACAGTGGTGGGCTGTCAGCATTGTTGATTTTTGAAATCCAGATCACCACTTTACACTGAGTACATGTTGTATTGAGTGAACATGTGGTACTTGGTGGTGCGTAAGTCGCTTTGGATAAAAGCGTCTGCTAAATGGCATATTATATATTATATTATTAAGTCAGCCCTCCTTACCTTGGCTATCTGGGGTACACTGGGAAGCTGGTTGAGGCCTGCCAGAGAGATCCTGTCATGGTGTGTCTTTGTCCTCGACCTGGGTGATGATTGCACAAAACCATTGTCAATAACCACATCTTAAAGAAGGTAGGCAGCACATCGCACATACATACTCCCTATACCTACAGTGAAAGTTCTGGCTACCGGTTACATGATAAGTGTGTAAATCCACATTCACAAGGTAGGGGTAGTGTGACTATAACAATGGGTCCAAGCCAGGCTCCAGAACCAACATAGGCCCACTGGACACTGTCTGCTGTGGATGCATTAATGGGTCCAGGCCAGGGCAGATCATAGCTAGTTCAGATCCTACATCCCTACTGGAACTCCTGGCCCTATTGTATGTAATTATATGACTGTAGCTACCTGAGCATGATGGAGGAACTCCTGGCCCTAGTTTAACTACCGGAGCTTGATGGAGGAACTCCTGGCCCTACTGTAGCTACTTGAGCATGATGGAGGAACTCCTGGCCCTACTGTAGCTACCTGAGCATGATGCAGAGGAACTCCTGGCCCTAGTGTAGTTACCTGAGCATGATGCGGAGGAACTCCTGGCCCTCTGCCTCCTCGTGCTTCAGTGACATAATGAGGTTCCCCAGACTGCTGCCTGTGCAGTAGTAGTTCATATGCTCCTGAAGAAGAGAGAGAGAGAGAGAGAGAGAGAGAGAGAGAGAGAGAGAGAGAGAGAGAGAGAGAGAGAGCGAGAGAGAGAGAGAGAGAGTCAGAGCGATAGAAAGAAAGAGGGGAGAAAGTGATGGAGGGAGGGAGGACAGCAAATCACTACACAGTATGATGAGACAGTTTAAAGAAGTTACACAGCGTCTAATAAGGTTTAACAGTCAATATTTCACAGATCTCCATATTATTGGTGTAAATTATACGTTAATTTTTCCAAAAGACTGATTCCTAATTCTTTGTCATAACCCCAGAGCAGAATTGAGTCTGAAGTAGGAAAAATCACCGAATGGAGAAAGACTGGAGGGAAACACACCCTTACAGAGAACACACACACACGTACACACGTAAACACACACAGACACACACATGCAGGCGCAGACCCCCCTTCCCCCCCACTCACACACCCACATTATTACTACTAGCCAAATAGGCCTTGACTCACCCTGCTCAGGAAGTGTTTGCGGTAGGCCCTGGCCGTGCTGTTACACTCCAGCCGGAAGCCGAAGCCTCCCCCAGGGCTTATGTCCCCTCCGTCATCCTCCTCACAGAAGCTGCTCTCCGAGGAGGTGGGGGTGCCTGCAGGCGCCTCGGCATCCTCAATCCAGTAACCCCCAAACTGGGGCAGGATCACCTGCGGGTATGGGCTACCCTTCTCCAGAATCTGAACCACACAACCAAGGTACAAGGGGTTTATGTACCAAGACATCACCATCCACAAGAACAGGGCCATAGAAATAAATAAGAGCTTGGGATATTGATCATAAATGTGCCTGTAAATGTTATTTGAGCCTTTACATTGACCACCAGTATTTGCATTCCTGCATGTGTGTGTGTGTATGTATGCATGCATATGTGGGTTTGTGTTATTCACGCTTGTGTGTGCATAGTGCTTTGATCCAGCTGATATGATCGTATCAGAGGGCTGACTCACATCCTCTATCCGCGGGTATGGAATGTAGTCATCCTGCTAGACAGAGAGAGGAGAGACACACACAGATCATCAACCTATTACGCTGGAATAACTAGAGCCCTGTTCAAATACATTGAATAATGCCTCTTTCCTTCCTTCTTTAAAGAAATCCCTGATCTGAAAAGGCTGGGTTGGTGAAAGCTATGTGATAGAACCATTGCTTACACCTATCAATTTGTGTAAGATCAGTGATTGCTTCAAGAAACGGAGAAAGGCATGGTGTGTTTGTAAAATATTCAAACAGGGCCTTGAACTACATTACAACTGGGGCAGTCAGTCGCCATAGTAAGCTTGAACACAGAAACACAGGGTGAACATACAGTTGAAGTCGGAAGTTTACATACACTTAGGTTGGAGTCATTAAAACTAGTTTTTCAACCACTCCACAAATTTCTTGTTAACAAACTACAGTTTTGGCAAGTCGGTTAGGACATCTACTTTGTGCATGACACAAGTAATTTTTCCAACAATTGTTTACAGACAGATTATTTCACTTATAATTCACTGTATCACAATTCAAGTGGGTCAGAAGTTTACATACACTAAGTTGACTGTGCCTTTAAACAGCTTGGAAAATTCCAGAAAATGATGTCATGCCTTTAGAAGCTTCTGATAGGCTAATTAACATCATTTGAGTCAATTGGAGGTGTACCTGTGGATGTATTTCAAGGCCTACCTTCAAACTCAGTGCCTCTTTGCTTGACATCATGGGAAAATCAAAAGAAATCAGCCAAGACATCAGAAAATAAATTGTAGACCTCCACAAGTCTGGTTCATCCTTGGGAGCAATTTCCAAACGCCTGAAGGTACAAACAATAGTACACAAGTATAAACACCATGGGACCACGCAGCCGTCATACCTCTCAGGAAGGAGACCCGTTCTGTCTCCTAGAGATGAACGTACTTTGGTGCGAAAAGTGCAAATCAATCCCAGAACAACAGCAAAGGACCTTGTGAAGATGCTGGAGGAAACAGGTACAAAAGTATCTATATCCACAGTAAAATTAGTCCTATATCGACATAACCTGAAAGACCGCTCCGCAAGGAAGAAGCCACTGCTCCAAAACCGCCATAAAAAAGCCAGACTACAGTTTGCAACTGCACATGGGGACAAAGATCTTACTTTTTGGAGAAATTTCCTCTGGTCTGATGAAACAAAAATAGAACAGTTTGGCCATAATGACCATCGTTATGTTTGGAGGAAAAAGGGGAATGCTTGCAAGCCGAAGAACACCATCCCAACCGTGAAGAACGGGGGTGGCAGCATCATGCTGTGGGGGTGCTTTGCTGCAGGAGGGACTGGTGCACTTCACAAAATAGATGGCATCATGAGGAAGGAAAATTATGTGGACATACTGAAGCAACATCTCAAGACATCAGTCAGGAAGTTAAAGCTTGGTCGCAAATGGGTCTTCCAAATGGACAATGACCCCAAGCATACTTCCAAAGTTGTGGCAAAATGGCTTAAGGACAACAAAGTCAAGGTATTGGAGTGGCCATCACAAAGCCCTGACCTCAATCCTATAGAAAATGTGTGGGCAGAACTGAAAAAGCGTGTGCGAGCAAGGAGGCCTACAAACCTGACTCAGTTACACCAGCTCTGTCAGGAGGAATGGGCCAAAATTCACCCAATTTATTGTGGGAAGCTTGTGGAAGGCTACCCGAAACGTTTGACCCAAGTTAAACAATTTAAAGGCAATGCTACCAAATACTAATTGAGTGTATGTAAACTTCTGACCCACTGGGAATGTGATGAAATAAATAAAAGCTGAAATAAATCATTCTCTCTACTATTGTTCTGACATTTCACATTCTTAAAATAAAGTGGTGATCCTAACTGACCTAAGACAGGGATTTTTTACTAGGATTAAATGTCAGGAATTGTGAAAAACTGAGTTTAAATGTATTTGGCTAAGGTGTATGTAAACTTCCGTCTTCAACTGTATATACAGTATTTTATTCTACAGAAGCAATTGATGGTCCAATGAGTGATGCAACACAATGAAACAGCACAGTCATCAAACAGGGAAACATTGATGGGGAGTCTCCACCTTCCGACACTCTCAGAGATACGAGATAGTCTCAGTATTGACTCTTTGTTTTTACACTGTATATAGTCCCAGGAGATTGAGGGGAATAGCATTCATTATGAACAGCTCTTTGTTACTTTAAGTTAGCCTACGTTTTTCCTGGTTGAGGGGACCTTAGGAGAGTGTTACAAGAGAGTGGTGAAACTACTCCAGGATGACAGGGTTAACACGGAGGATGACCACCACCACAATCAAACAAAGAAGGGATGGAAAAAATTGATAAAGGAATACATTAATAAATTGATAAAGGAATACATTAATAAATTGATAAAGGAATACATTAATCAATTAATAAAGGAATGCACACAGAGGCAAGGTCAATGCACCATGACAGAGAAGCATGCCCAGTGGTGAGGTCCACAGACACTGACGTGAGTGTGTGTGTGTGTGTGTGTGTGTTTCTCAGACCTTGCTTCTCTGCGAGTGGGGCTTCGTCGCCTCAGATTTAGGGACCTGGTTAGGGTCACGCATGTGGACGGAGGGTCACAAGGGTACAAAAATGATCATTCCTGACTTACGCAACTCCCAGATCAGTTACTGTACGTACATATTGTACACTCTTAGAAAAAAGGGTTCCAAAAGGGTTCTTCGACCGTCCCCATAGGAGAACCATTTTTGGTTCCTGGTAGAAACCTTTTGGGTTCCATTTAGAACCTTCTGTGGAAAGGATTCTTAATGGAACCCAAAAGGGTTATACCTGGAACCAAAAGGATTCTACCTGGAAGGGTTATTCAAAGGGTTCTCCTATGGGGACAACCAAATAACCATTTTAGGTTCTAGATAGCACATAGGTGGAACCCAGGTAAAATATTTGCTTGGATATAAGAAGTGTTTGCATATGCAGAGCATACATGACTCCAGTTGACACATCCTGAATTGCACAATTACCAATCTACTGGAAAGACCTGTGGAGAAAGACTTATGTGCATGTGTGAAGGCTCTGAAGCCTGAATCCTTACCACACACACAGATTCTCTCAAGTCTTTTACCAGACTTAATCATATCTCAATTATCCTTATCCCGGCGTGGGAAGACCCTTAAGACCTCACACACAAGTCAAGTCATTCTCCAGACTTAAACCGCATCCGTATCCCTACTTTCCATTATTGATTTCAGTGGTCAACGCACAGACTGGTTTAGCTATCTATCTATGCACTCTCTGCATGCTTTTGAATGGTCCTCATCCTCCAGTGATGCTTGTCTCTGGTTCAGCAGAGTGGCTCTGACATAACCTGGTCCCCAATCTGTTTATGCTGCATTGACAATGACCATAGGAGTTGGCAATACAGCACCATCAGATCAGGGACCAGGCTAGCTCAGACAGACAGACAGACAGACAGACAGACAGACAGACAGTAGAGGGGATGGGGGGAAACAGATGTAGCTCAGTGGGGGACTACTTGTCAACACCGCTGGGTTAGATCAACGCTAGGGGCCTGTCTTAATGCATCCATCTTCGATCCCTCTGAGACGGGCTCTGTGATCAACCATTCCAGATAGAGGCTTTTCAACTGTTCCACCATCGATTGCTCTAGTCTAGTTAGTAGTGCGGGTCGATGTGGCGCTGTGCTCTGTAAGGGACTGTGGGGACAGAGAGGGGTCTGGTAAGGACTGACTCAGAGGTGGCAGCAGGCCAGTGTGGCCTCTGTCCTCGCACACTTGTCATCAGGTGCTGTCGATATCCTGTCCTCCTCCGCTCACTCCCTCTCTGTCAAAAGCTCCCCCACTGTCCCCAAATGGGCATGACAAAGCTGCCACCACCACCGACCCTATTCCTGCCCCCACCCTGCCTAAAACCCCATTCCCACAGAAGATCCCAGAACCCCACAGACACAGTGCAGCAGAACAGGACAGAGAAATCAATGGGTTTTTAGTTTTTAACTTGGTTCGGTTCGGCCCATTACTCAATCAGGACCAGAGATTGGACCCGGTCGTCTCGGCTCCTCAAATTAAGGGCGGCCTGCGTTCCCCCTCCAAACTCCCATGGCTTAATAACGGGACCCTTCTGCTCGTTAGGGAGGACCCGTGATTAAAATCTCAGGAAGTGATGGACGTGTCGTGCTTTCATCACCACGTCCATGCCAGCAGCTTAGAGAGAAGAGAAGGAAAGAGAGAAGGAAGAGGAAGAAGAGAGAAGAGGGAGGAGTCTTACCTGCATCCTTCCCAGCATGTCAAAGAACTCGGCAGACTGAAACAAACAGACAAACAGAGGTGATTATTTTACCACAATGTCATACAGTTATAGTGAATGCGGTTATAGTGTATCAAATTGTCCTGGACCAATGTGATACACTATAAGTGGAGTGCACTTTATTTCCTAAATAAGCACTAAATTAATTCATGACAGATATTTTCAATTAGGGTTAATTTGGTATAGGTTGAGGTATGGCTTTGTGATGTCCACAAAACATAACACCAGCGTGAGATGGTTTAAGTGTGAACAAGGGGTTTCTGGGTATTTCTATGGAAATAGAGAGAGGTCTGGTCACTGAGGCTGCGTTCCAGGCTGACTACATTGAGATGTATACGCGCTAACCACATCATGTGATATAACAATCTGATGCCTGACTGGACAGTCTGCAATGTAGCCTCGAAAGTGTACTGAAACTTCTAAAACCCAGTAACTACAATTATCACACCACGATCATCTACAGCTAGCAGAATTTCCACACTGGTTAGCAATAAGGCAGAGCAGATAAGGAAGGACAGTCCTACACCCTCTCACACCCATATGTGCAGTATCTGTGTTTGTATATTATACAAACACAGATAAGCAAGCCTACTCCACTTCCTCAAAACTGTCACTCCAGAAAAAGAATGGGCTGTTGTTGTGCTCCTGGCACATCAATATGCTTCCTATGAAACTACACTGAAGTTCTGGGTCAAAATCTTACTGACAGGATGTGCTCCTGGCACACTAATATGCTTCCTATGAAACTATACTGAAGTTCTGGGTCAAAATCTTACTGACAGGATGTGCTCCTGGCACACCAATATGCTTCCTATGAAACTATACTGAAGTTCTGGGTCAAAATCTTACTGACAGGATGATGGAAAAATGTAAAGAATGAAAGTGCAGACAACTAAATATTGGTAATAAATGTAGTGCATTCAACAATTCGAGATGAAGTAGCGTGGAAAAAAGAATGGGGGGGGGGAAATATACTTCTCCCATGGGCAAAGAATTCAAAAGGGGTGATGACATTAATTAATAGTAATTTCGATCCGAATGTGCAAATTGTACAAATAGATACACAAGGTAGATGGATTATTTTAAATATGTTATTGGACCATAAACAGATATGGCTCATTAACCTTTACGGACCAAATAATGATGATCCACAATTCTTTGACAATATATATAATAAATTATCAAGCCTGCAAGCAACTCAAGACAATATTATTATGGTGGGGGATTATAATACTGTTTTAAATAGCTCAATGGACCGTAAAGGAAATCACACCACAATCAATCACCCACATGCTCTTAAGGACATTGTGAATGTCATGGATACATTAGAACTAGTAGTTATATGGAGGCTTAAATATACTGATCTAGTGAGATATACATGGCGGAGACTGAATCAAGCTAGTCTTCTTGACTTCTTTCTTATCTCATTCTCGTTGGCACCAAAAGTAAAAAAAGTGTTGATACGGGACAGAATGCGGTCGGACCATCATATAATAGGCATATACATTACTCTTACTGAATTTCCACGTGGGCGAGGATATTGGAAATGTAATCAAAGCCTATTGGATGATAATTTATTTATAATTAGAACAAAGGAATTTATAACTGACTTTTTCCAACATAACATAGGTACAGCGAATCCCCTTATTGTATGGGACACCTTTAAATGTGCCTTTAGAGGCCATGCAATTCAGTACTCATCTCGAAAAACAAAAGCAATTAAGGTCAAAAGAGTTCATACTAAGAAAGGAAATAGAAAGTCTAACAGAACAGATAGATGGCAATAAAAACTGTAACATAGAGGCTCAGAATAAATTAGAGGAAAAACAAAAAGAAATGGAGAAACTTATTCAAGAAAGATCAAGTGTAATATATTATAAAAATAAAGCAAACTGGATGGAATATGGGGAAAAATTCACAAAATTCTTTTTTAATCTTCAACATAGGAATGCTACCAAAAAGAACTTAATGAAACTGGTTACAATTGACGGAGTCACCCATAATTCACCAAATGATATTTTGAAGGAAGAAACAAAGTACTTTAAGCATATGTTTTCTTTTCAGTCGCCTCCATCTCCTCTAACTGAAGCTAATTGTAGAGATTTTTTTTCTATTGATAATGTCAAATTAACAGCCACACAGAAAGACTCATGTGAAGGTGAAATTACAGAGGAGGAACTTCTGGATGCAATTAAAGACTTTAAGTCTGGGAAAACTCCAGGGTTGGATGGCATACCAGTCGAGGTATACCAAACCTTTTTTGATATACTAAGAGGACCGTTATTAGCATGTTTTAACCACTCCTATGTAAATGGTAGATTATCTGACACTCAAGAAGAAGGACTGATCTCATTATTACTGAAACAGGATACAAGTGGAAAATATAAAGATCCAGTCCATTTACAAAATTGGAGGCCCCTTACACTTCAGTGTTGTGATGCAAAAATCCTAGCAAAATGTATAGCGCATAGAATTAAAAAGGTATTGTCGGATATTATTCATTCTAATCAGACAGGTTTTTTACATGGAAGATACATTGGAGATAATATAAGGCCAAGTATTGGAAACAATAGAACACTATGGAAAATATGGGAAACCAGGCTGCTATTCATAGCAGACTTCGAAAAGGCATTTGATTAAAGTTCGACTGGGGTTTATATATAAATGCCTGGAGCATTTCAATTTTGGAGAATCTCTTATAAAATGGGTCAAAATCATGTATAGTAACCCTAGGTGTAAAATAGTAAATAATGGCTATTTCTCAGAAAGTTTTAAACTGTCAAGAGGAGTGAAACAAGGTTGTCCACTATCCACTACCATATCTATTTATTGTGGCCATCGAGATGTTAGCTATTAAAATCAGATCCAATAATAATATCAGAGGATTAGAAATACAGGGCTTAAAAACAAAGGTGTCATTGTACGCTGATGATTCATGTTTTCTTTTAAATCCACAACTAGAATCCCTCCACAGCCTCATAGAGGATCTAGATACATTTTCTAACCTCTCTGGATTACAACCAAATTATGACAAATGTACTATATTACGTATTGGATCACTAAAAAATACAATTTTTTACATTACCATGTAGTTTACCAATAAAATGGTCTGATGGTGATGTGGATATACTCGGAATACATATCCCAAAGGAAATAAATGATCTCACTTCAATACATTTTAATAGAAAGTTAGCAAAAATAGATAAGATCTTACTACCATGGAAAGGAAAATACCTGTCAATTTGTGGAAAAATCAACCCTGATTAACTCTTTAGTATTATCCCAGTTTACCTATTTGCTTATGGTCTTGCCTACGCCTAGCGAACAGTTTTTTAAATTATATGAGAAAAAAATATTCAATTTTATTTGGAACGGCAAGCCAGACAAAATTAAAAGAGCATATTTATATAATGAATATGAATTCGGAGGACAGAAATTATTAAATATTAAAGCATTAGACCTATCACTAAAAGCTTCAGTCATACAAAAGTTATACTTAAATCCTAACTGGATCTCAAGCAAATTAGTAAGATTGTCTCACCCAATGTTCAAGAAAGGCCTTTTTCCCTTTATTTCAGATTACAACCTCTCACTTTCAGTTATTTGAAAAGGAAATAATCTCCCAAATGTCACTATTTCTAAAACAAGCCATAGAAAGTTGGTTTGCAAATGTCAATTTAATCCTCCAGAAACGACCCAGAACAAATAATGCAACAAATATTGTGGTTAAATTCAAATATACTAATTGACAAAAAACCTTTATTTTTGACCAGAATGTTTAAAAAAGGTATATAATCTTCGTAAATGATATCATCGGTAGGACTGGTGGAGTTATGACGCACATGCAGCTAACAAAAACATATGGAAATGTCTGCTCTACCCAAAATTACAACCAAAATAATTGCAGCCTTACCGCAAAAAATGGAAGAGGAAAGTGGAAGGGGGAGAAAGTAAGGAACTTGTCTGTCGGCCTTGCATTAAAGAACATAATTGGGTTAAGGAAAACTGTGATAAATAAAAAAGTATATCAGTTTCACTTAAGGACCAAAGGATTGACAGCCGTCCCATATAGATTGCAAAATAGTTGGGAAGAGATCTTTGACGTACCGATCCCATGGCATAGTGTTTATGAACTGACACGCAAAACGACACCGGATTCAAAAATTAGAATCTTTCAATTTAAATTATTATATAAAATTCTTGCTACCAATAGAATGTTATTTATATGGGGGATACAATCTTCCCAGCTCTGCAGATTTTGCTGTTTGAAGAGACAGAATCATTGGATCATTTGTTTTGGTTCTGTCCATTTGTAGCTTGTTTTTGGACACAGGTCCAGGAATGGCTAAAGGATTGCAATATTTACCCTGGAAACTAACCTTACAGATAGCATTACTGGGTGATCTGAAAAGTCATAGTCAATCAATCAATAATATAATAATACTTTTAGCAAAAATGTTTATTTTTTAATTCACAATCTGTAGAAGCAATGAGAATAGAAAGGTTCAGAACTTTTGTAAAACAATCACAGTACGGTTGAAATATATATGGCAGAAATCCTATATGGATGGTGTGTTAAGAGATAGATGGGAGGTATTGAATAGAGTTGAAGGATGGGACTAATAACAAATAACAACATATAATAACAAAGATAGCTAATAATGTAAGCATACTGTGTCCATAATAAGTATATAGGTTGTATGTTGGGAGCTTTTGGGACAAGAGCACAGTTAGAAAAGATATGGCATATAGAAGCAACTGGATGGACATCATGAAAATGATCGGCGAGGTTGAAGTAGAAGAAGTTCAGGAGCAAAAAAAATTTAATTAAAAAAATTTTATATATAATATATATAATAGAATTATTGTAAAATTAACTCTGTCCATAAGGTGTAGATAGTAAGTATAGACCGGAAGTAGAGGCCTGGACATTGTTGTTCACTAATTTACTCCAAGTAGGGAAAATGGGGGGGGTTGAAAAATAAAAGGGGAGTATATATATAAAAAAATATAAAAAAAATAAAAAAACATGGGGGATTGGAAGTGATGCAGACAATTACATGTAGAAGATACAATATCTGCAATATTAAGCTGATCCATTCCCCCCCCCCCCCCCAAAAAAAAAAAAAAAAAATGTATTTGCATTATCATTATTGTAATGATCATCAAACAATTAAAATAACTAATGTCAATATAGGGACCACTCTGAGCTAAATGAGAGTGGAATCAGGAAGTAAAGTTGTCATTAACACATGATCCCATTACACTTAAAGTAGCTGTCAAAGACTTCTACGAATATGACCTACTATTATTACAATATGAGTAAAATTTAGATTTCTTCCAAAAAATAAAAATGATGTAGGCCCTTTGTTAATAAGCAGCTTTTCTGTGTGACCCTGCTTTCCCTATTCACAAACAGCACTATGGTGGGCAAATACCGGTGATTATAAATATTATAAATAAGTAAAGGACAAGTCAACAACATTATTTGGATATGAGTGAACAGAAATATGCTTTAAAAATGAGATTTTCTTGGTAAGTTACTATAATAGTTGGTAGACGAAAAACCTACAAAAAAACAAAAACGTCTTGACTGCTTTTGACCTGACGAGATCCATCTTGGATTAAAACATTGTTTTATACAGTGTTGTCCTGGCCTTTTTGTGTCTTTTTAATGAAAGACAGTCAATCAACAAACACCATAGTTCCCCTATGTGACGGTCAAAGGTCATACTCAGGAAATATCTAAAGGCCCCAAAGGATGAGGAACATAATCAAAATACATTGTTTGAATCACAGGTTTCAGGTTTTCAAGGTTGGCAAGTAGAGAATGCAGACTAAGGCTGTCAAAGCACTACTTATCAGAAATACACAGGCACCGGTAAATAAACCATTTCATAAGTGAGCTTATGGCATTTAAAGACAAAGCTAAAACAAATGATTTGAAAGGTGTGAGCTTCAAAGAGTAAAACTGACATTATTGTTCCCTATCCTACACAGGTACTAATAACCCCCTTTTTCAACGCAGCCATTAAACCCACCCCCATTACAGCAACATGTTAAACATACACGAACACCACCGCAATACCACTAAAACACCCAAGACCCGGAAAACCCATGTTTTTCCCTTTAAATATACAACCTGGTACTCTGTAAACCAGGAAAACCAGGGAAACGATCCATGTCACAGCAGTAAAACATCTATTTACTTTAGCCCCGGGAATCCATCCCACTGAGCTCAGTGAAAATGCTAATCCCACCACTGTCAGTGCAGCGGGATATCGTTAGTTTTTCATTAACCTGCCACGAGTCCCAAACCCCACAGCTAGTCCCACAGAGTCAACACAAAGAGCCCGGCTCACACAGCCCTACAGTGGGCACTGTACCTTGGGATTCATCGTCGTCCCCCGTCGAGGTGAGAAAAACTGCTGATGGACACTGGGGGCCATGGTGGGCCCCTAGAGGCCAGACGGAGATCTATCAAACGGACGCCAATCAGAGAGGAACCTGGGCTAAGCGGAGCGTGACAGGCTGAGAACCAAGATGTAACAGATAGGTCTGTCTGTCCTCTAAGGCTGGCACACCACAAAGTCTAGATGTAAAATCCTCTCTCCCTCTTCTCTATACATGTATATATCTCCCCCTCTGTCTGTCTCTCTCTCAATTCAATTCAATTAATTTAAGGGCTTATTGGCATGGGGAACGTATGTTAACATTGCCAAAACAAGTGAAGTAGAAGTAAACAAAAGTGAAAAACAATAAATATTAACAGTAAACATTACACTCAGAAGTTCCAAAAGAATAAAACATTTCAAATGTCATCTTATGTATATACACTGGGGAGAACAAGTATTTGATACACTGCCGATTTTGCAGGTTGTCCTACTTACAAAAAATGTAGAGGTCTGTAATTTTTATCATAGGTACACTTCAACTGTGAGAGATGAATCTAAAACAAAAGTAATTAATTTGCATTTTATTGCATGACATAAGTATTTGATACATCAGAAAAGCAGAACTTAATATTTGGTACAGAAACCTTTGTTTGCAATTACAGAGATCATACGTTTCCTGTAGGTCTTGACCAGGTTTGCACACACTGCAGCAGGGATTTTGGCTCACTCCTCCATACAGACCTTCTCCAGATCCTTCAGTTTTCGGGGCTGTCGCTGGGCAATACAGACTTTCAGCTCCCTCAAAGATTTTCTGTTGGATTCAGGTCTGGAGACTGGCTAGGCCACTCCAGGACCTTGAGATGCTTCTTACGGAGCCACTCCTTAGTTGCCCTGGCTGTGTGTTTCGGGTCTTTGTCATGCTGGAAGACCCAGCCACGACCCATCTTCAATGCTCTTACTGAGGGAAGGAGGTTGTTGGCCAAGGTCTTGCGATACATGGCCCCATCCATCCTCCCCTCAATACGGTGCAGTCGTTCTGTCCCCTTTGCAGAAAAGCATCCCCAAAGAATGATGTTTCCACCTCCATGCTTCACGGTTGGGATGGTGTTCTTGGGGTTGTACTCATCCTTCTTCTTCCTCCAAACACGGCGAGTGGAGTTTACACCAAAAAGCTCTCATCAGACCACATGACCTTCTCCCATTCCTCCTCTGGATCATCCAGATGGTCATTGGCAAACTTCAGACGGGCCTGGACATGCGCTGGCTTGAGCAGGGGGTCCTTGCGTGCGCTGCAGGATTTTAATCCATGACGGCGTAGTGGTGTTACTAATGGTTTTCTTTGAGACTGTGGTCTCTTCAGGTCATTGATCAGGTCCTGCCGTGTAGTTCTGGGCTGATCCTCAGCTTCCTCATGATCATGATGCCCCACGAGGTGAGATCTTGCATGGAGCCCCAGACCGAGGGTGATTGACCGTCATCTTGAAACTTCTTTCCATTTTCTAATAATTGCGCAACAGTTTGTTTGCCCTTCTCACCAAGCTGCCCATACCCAGCCCTTGTGCAGGTCTAACAATTTATCCTGATGTCCTTACACAGCTCTCTGGTCTTGGCCATTGTGAGAGGTTGGAGTCTGTTTTGATTGTAGTGTGTGGACAGGTATCTTTATACAGGTAACGAGTTCAAACCGGTGCAGTTAATACAGGTAATGAGTGGAGAACAGGAGGGCTTCTTAAAGAAAAACTAACAGGTCTGTGAGAGCTGGAATTCTTACTGGTTGGTAGGTGATCAAATACTTATGTCATGCAATAAAATGCAAATTAATTACTTAAAAATCATACAATGTGATTTTCTGGAGAGAAAAAAAATTCACAGTTGAAGGTGTACCTATGATAACAATTACAGACCTCTACATGGCTTTTGTAAGTAGGGAAAACCTGCAAAATCGGCAGTGTATCAAATACTTGTTCTCCCCACTGTATACAGCTGTGGAAAAAAATTAAGAGACCACTGCAAATTTTTCTTAAATCTGCATCTCTACATGTATGGACAGCCATTCCATTCCAGTGTCTGTTGAATTCCAACACAGGCACACCTCATTCTACTGAATTAGGTACTGATTAGGTGATCACATGAACCAAATCTTATTTAACAAGGAAAAGTATAAAAACCACTGCTGGTGGTCATCACTATCCTCTTGCAATAGGACCAGCTGGCTGGCAAAAACAGTGCTAAATAGTACCCTCAAAAAGTAATATTAATCAAAAAATAACTATTGGACCGTGCCAAAAGAGTTGAAAAGGAACGTTTTGAGTGAGGAAAAGAAGGGTTTTAATTCTGGCTTTACTGGCAGAGGGATACAGTGAGCGTCAGGTTGCTTCCATCCTTAAAAATTTCAAAGACGGCGGTTCATAAGATCAAGGTCAAGCAGCAGACATTGGGGACACAAAGCTACAGACCGCAGGGGCGAAACGACTCTCTACTGACCGGGATGACCCGCCAACTCATTCAAATGTCACTCAATAACCGTAGGATGACATCAAGTGACCTACAAAAAGAATGGCAAACGGCAGGCTGGGGTGAAGTGCACGGCGAGGACGTTCACACAGGCTCCTAGGGGCAGGGCTGAAGTTGGGCAAAGCTAGAAAAAAAAAGCCCTTCCATCAATGAGAAGCAAAGAAAGAGCCAGGCTGAGGTTTGAAAAAGACCATAAGGATTGGACCGTAGAGGACTGGAGTAAGGTCATCTCTCTGATGAGTCTAATTTTCAGCTTTGCCCAACACCTGGTCGTCTAATGGTTAGACGGAGACCTGGAGAGGCCTACAAGACACAGAGTCTCGCACCCACTGTGAAATTTGTGGTGGAGGATGGGTGATGATCTGGGGTGCTTCGGCAAGGCTGGAATCGGGCAGATTTGTCTTTGTGAAGGATGCATGAATCAAGCCACGTACAAGGTTGTCCTGGAAGAAAACTTGCTTCCTTTTGCTCTGACATTGTTCCCCAACTCTGAGGATTGGTTTTTCCAGCAGGACAATGCGCCATACCACACAGCCAGGTCAATCAAGGTGTGGATGGAGGACCACCAGATCAAGACCCTGTCATGGCCAGCCCAATCTCCAGACCTGAACCCCATTGAAAACTTCTGGAATGTGACTTCTGGTGGAGAGCATGCCAAGAAGCATGAAAGCTGTGATTGAAAATCAGGGATATTCGACAAAATATAACTCTTCCTAAGTTAAAAAAAATTATATTGTTTGTTTCAAATAAAACATGAACTTATTTTCTTTGCATTATTCGAGGTCCGACACACTGCATCTTTTTTGTTATTTTGACCAGTTGTCATTTTCTGCAATAAATGCTGTAAATGACAATATTTTTATTTGGAATTTGGGAAAAATTATGTCAGTAGTTTATAGAATAAACAAAAATGTAATTTTTACCCAAACACATACCTATAAATAGTAAAACCAGAAGAAACTGATAATTTTGCGTGGTCTCTTACTTTTTTCCGCACTGTATATATCCAGTGTTGTAACAATGTGCAAATAGTTAAAGTAAAATGGGAAAAAAAATAAACATAAATATGGGTTGTATTTACAATGTGGTTTTTTTTTCCCTGGTTGCCCAGGTCACAAATCTTGCTGCTGTGAGGGCACACTGTGGTTTTTAAACCCGAGTAGATAAGGGAGTTTATCAAAATTGGGTTTGTTTTCAAATTTTTTGTAGATCTCTGTAATCTGAGGGAAATACGTGTCTCTAATATGGTCATACTTTGGCAGGAGGTTAGGAAGTGCAGCTCAGTTTCCACCCCCTTTTGTGGGCAGTGTGCACCATAGCCTGTCTTCCTTGAGACCCCAGGTTTTCCTACGACGGCCTTTCTCAATAGCAAGGCTATGCTCACTGAGTCTGTACATAGTCAAAGCTTTCCTTAAGTTCAGTCACAGTGGTCAGTATTCTGCCACTGTGTACTCTCTGTTTAGAGCCAAATAGCATTCTAGTTTGCTCTGTTTTTTTTTAATTATTTCCAAAGTGTCAAGTAATTCTCTTTTTGTTTTCTCATATTTGGTTGGGTCTAATTGTGTTGTTGTTGTTGTCCTGGGGCTCTGTGGGGTCTGTTTTGGGGTTTGTGAACAGAGCCCCAGGACCAGCTTACTTAAGGGACCTTCTCCAAGTTCATCTCTTTGTAGGTGATTGCTTGTTATGGAAGGTTTAGGAATCGCTTCCTTTTAAGTGGTTATAGAATTTAAACTGCTCTTTCTGCATTTTGATAATTACAGGAATCGGCCTAATTCTGCTCTGCATGCATTATTTTGTGTTTTTTTATTGTACACTGAGGATAAATTTTTTCAGATTTCTGCATTGCAGAGTCTCAATTTGGTGTTTGTCCCTTTTGTGAATTCTTGGTTGGTGAGCGGACCACAGACCCCAAACCATAAAGGGCAATGGGTTCTATAACTGATTCAAGTATTTTTTGCCAGATCCTAATTGGTATGTCAATTTTATGTTCCTTTTGATGGCATAGAAGGCCCTTCTTGCCTTGTCTCTCAGATCGTTCACATCTTTGTGGAAATTACCTGTGGCCTATGTTTGGCCGAGTATGTATAGTTTTTGTGTGCTCTGGCAAAAGTGTCTAGATGGGAATTTGTATTGTGGGCCGGCAAACTTTTTGGAAAACCTATTTTTTTTGGAACCCCATTAATTTTGT